ATTATGTAAGCAGTTAATTATTTCATTTGTTGAAGCATGATTAAAAATTCAAATGTAATCATTATGACAACGATATGGAATGTTGTAGCATTTTGTATTGTATTTCCACGGCAATGAAATGATCCCACATTGCCAGAAGAGCTCTCTCTGTCTCTCTTCCTGTGCGAAATGCGACGAGCGTTCTTATCAGATTCGTGAAAATGAGTCAACTTTCTGAGATACTTCAACCGGGGTGAATTCCTCCGCCTGCAGAACATGTGTGGGTGGCATATTTAAGCGAACGTGTGAATATTTCATTTGCTGGCAATATCAAAAAGCATGCCAAATGCAAAGAAAATTTATTTGCCATACAAATAAATGATTCGATGACCCAAAAGCCATGATAAAACATTTAACACACTTCAATGATCAATAATGATAATAAATCGATAAAGTTGCTCAAAATTTAATGGTTCTCTCTCTCTTTCTGTGTGGAAATTATGCGATTGCTTGAACGTTTTCCTTATCAGCAAATATTCATCAAATCACCAGCAGTTGAAATTATTCCCAGCTAAACATTTAACACGATCAATTGAGCGAATAAATGAGAATTTCAACCCTTATTTGAGATTATATAACAATATGGACATAATCTTGTATCAATTGTTAATTTAATACAGCATTTAACCTTTTGGCGCGATTGCAAATGATAAACTCCCGACGGGATTTGCTCGTTTGACTGATTGCGAGTGAGTGTGCATTTAATTAAACATTGACAAAATTGCATTAGTGTCGAGATCTCAACGTGCGCTCGACATTATCTTCAGTTGCAATGAAGTTTTTGTGCAACTACTATTTTAGTTTGGCTTTTCCTGTAACACTGTTTACCAACATTCTGCTAGATATTGTCGGAACGGCGGGGCTGGGGGGGTGGAAAAGATAGATCTGCAACGCAGGAAATGTGCCAGCGGCTTTCCATGTTTCACTCGCATAGACTTTGCCATTATGTATTAGAGAGAGAGTGAATTGTACTCCATACACACAACATTCTCGACAATTTCACATCCCCCCAGCCTTGTTGAGCATCCCCACTCACACCCCTTGACATCCGGGAGTGCCTGAGCAGTATTTATAGGATGATGTGTACACACAGGAGCCGTGTCACTTGAAAATATAGATAATTATTGTCATGATTTGCAAATTAAACTTACTTTCCACCGCGTGTTGAGAAGAAGCGCCTCTTCTTCACACAAAGATACACGAGCCGCCCTGAGTAACCCGAGAGAATATGTCTCTGCTCGTTGGGGGCGCCACCCACCCGATGGGGATTCTTTCGCAACTTGTAACACTGCGCGACTTCCTCTGTCTCACTTTCAGTCGCACACTCGAGAAGCTCGACAAATTAAACGAAATTGAGTTATACATATTATCATATGGCATGTGCGCTTTCTGTTCACGATACGTACAATTATCTTAATGCGTAAATTAATTACATTCTTGACATTTCATTATAGTTACGCGTCCTTATCGATTAGCTATCAACAACAGGTTCACTCCAAAGACCGACACAGGAAGAGAGAGAGAGAGAATGGATTTGAGTGAAAAGCTCAAAGCTTTTTTAGCTCTTTTTTCCCCCATTGAAAATCAATCGCTGTGCTTAATTTGCTTAGGTACACAGAAACGGGTGAGTTCAATTGAATGCTTTTTATCCGTCAGTTTGTGCTGCAAAAACTGCATATATTTATTCACCCTTATTATTCCAAACTATATACACATAGATTTATCTGCGACAAAATCGTGCTTGTTTGCTTGAGCCCCAGGAAAATATGCCCAGCATTTAAACCCTAAACATTTCATTTTCACGACAGTTATGCAGTTGTTGTCATGTCTAAGCGATGCTCTTATCACTCTAATTCCTTGTCCAGCCAATGCATATTTCCACACATTAATTCCCTGGCAATGCTATGTACTACAAATCAAAGAGCACATAGAATTATCTCATCTTGATTTAATTTAGTAAATGATCTGCTTCGGACGCCCACTGACTTCTTTGATAACCTGGAGTAATAATGATTTTGAAGGAGTTTTGCCGCTTCACTGCATCAAACAAGGCCAAAGCAACCGGATCAGCACTTCCAATAACTTATGTACACTTTCGTATACATAATGCCGCGTTTTTTTTTCAGAAGAGCAAAAACTCAGAGTGTATGAGAAATCTCCGTGAATATTTCTGTTGTGATAACACACTTGGCAGGGTTCACTGGGTATCGCACGAAAACAATAAACAAATTCAATTGCTGATCAAATTCCTCCTCCTACATAAGCACTTTTTCCAACCATCCACAGCACGAAGTATATGCGGAGTTTTGTTATAAAGAGTTTTTCCATTCTATAATTAATATTGTTAGATTGTCGCGCGCAGAAAAAAAGCATCACAGCGCGACTTTAGTCAAAAAGGCCATTTTTTTTGTCATCGCCACACACTTTTCAAATCCATATTCCATGTGACATTCCAATCCTCGCATTTGTACACACATATTTACAACCATCGCGCTTTTGGGAGTTCAATAGCAGCGTGTAAAATGCGTTGTGACGATGGGCAAAAAATTGCGTACGACGAGGGCAAAGCGTACAAGTATGAAAATGAACGAAAATCACAAACATTTTGAGGTGAATAGTGAATGAATGTGTTATCAGACTTTTTGAGATATCGCTTTTTGGCTCAAAAGCTTTTATTTGCACTCTCTCTATCTTTGCCCATTTATTTGCTAAAAATATGAAAAGTCACAGAGAGTGAGAGAGAATTTCCAATGTCCAATCTTTTATGCCATTTCACAAATGTTTAACGAAGCGTTAGTGCATGGCAAAAGTTCTCTATATGGAATGCTGATTGTTCAGCTTTTCATACATTCAAAAACCCAAAAACTCTGTCCTTTCTTTATGTTTACCACTCACAAATATGCATGATTTATTTGTTATTCATGTAATACTTCGGAAATCATAATTATGTCACAAATGAACGGCCAGAGACTCTAAAATATTATTATATTCATCAAATTCAATCGACATTTCAGAGAGACGCATTCAGTGTTATTTGTCACAATGTGGGCAAAAAAAAAGTATATTTGTTGCAATTTATAATAAAATTTCAGTCTATAGTGCAAACTTCCTGTTCATTGTTTGATTATCAATTAACAATCTTTCACATGATGCAGCATGAAAAGGAAAATGTGTCAAATATTGACATGTTCGGCCAAATTTCAATTGTGAATTAATGAATAAAATTTCTATTTATATACGGAAAAATTTTTGAAGTTAATACAATCATAATCCAATTAGTGTTATTGTTAAATGAATTAAAATTTCATATTTGACTGCAATTAATATTTGTATAATTTATATTTGCGTAAAGTTCAATTGTTATTATATTGACATTTCGTGTGTGGGGGAAAAAAAAGTGTCATTGTCCGCATTGAATTTCGGGGAGTGATTTATTATGAGATTTTCATTGCATTTTATTGAATATATGATGTATAAAATTTTGTACAATTTTCGTGAAAAAAAAAAACATTTCATTGGATTTTTGCGAGAGCGACCAAAACAGCACAAACGATGCCAAGCAGAAAATGTTCATGCTCTCGTGCACAATATATATTTTATCTCCGCACACAATCTATCTGCCATGCTAATTAATTATGATTTACTAGTGATACTATTTCGCCCATTGATTATAAATGCCAAACAACTCCGCCGCGCGCCTCACGCAAATATTGCATGGCCAGTAAAAGTGTATTTTCTAATTAGAACGCATTTCAACACTATTCCGCATTATTTCGCCGACTCTGCAATATGCAAAGTGAAATATATATTTCCCATGAGAGATTTTTCCCCCGCAAAATGCTTTTGCAAATCTCCATTATCAATCTGATTCCCAGAATGGAGGGAAAAATTTCCCATTAATTGCTGCACAAATTAAAAAAAAATATTCCCATAATATTGAGCTTTTGCATCTCTGCGACTGACATATTTATAAATTTAGTCACCTACATAATATTGCTATATTGTTGTGAATAAAAGTTTTGAAAAATTGATATCAATTAACCCAGTTTTATGCTGTTTACGGGATTTCGTCGATAAAACCCAAACCACGTTTCAGCCGAGAGAGAGAGAGTGAGAAAAAAACAGTCTAAATATACATTTTCACAAATAATGCACACAAATTCTATTATATACAAAGGGTGTTTATTTATGCGCTTTTCCCTCGTATATAAAACAGAGGCTGGGAGAAGGTCAGACAATGTGGGTATTAAGAGTATTAGGAAACTGAACTGTGAGGCCATTAATCGACACCGATAGCATAGCAGAATGTGTTATCACAGAGGCAAAAATCTATTAGCATAGGGAACAGAAACTTTGAACTCTCTCTTAATTGCTGGCAAATGTGTGTGCAGCTCCTACAACAAATCTCCGGATGATGCGCCATGGCGATAAGGCCAGAGACTGAAGAGATATCGAGACCAAAATAGGCATTCCAATCATTAATCTGGCCAGAACTGGTTGGCAAATCCACAGGGATATTTATAAGAATGCTCTTTGGATTTTTAAACACTGTTTGGTGACAATGGCGATTAGCGATACTCAATAATATTTACTCAATCACTCTATATTGCCATTTCAGCTCATCCTGGTGTGATTCCCAGGATTCTTCTTCCCTTTTCTGGCACGCGATCAGCAAAAGGTGCATCAATGTTGAGGATGAGATGCAGGAAAACACGCTGATCCACTGCAAAAACATCGTGATTTATTCCCACACCAGGAATTTATCAGGCCCAGTCGCTGGACAGACAGCGACTCTCACACCAAGTCAGAGCTCCGCGCCTCGCCTGGAGACGTGTCTGTCCCGATGTGGAAATGTGCCTTATCAGTGGGAACGTCTATTTAAGAGTCTCCTGCTGTCTAGCTGGCCCAATATCGCGTGCCGCGCTCGTCCAGTGAGAAGCGATGGTCAGAAAGCTCCCAACCCTCCGCCGAGCAGCCGCCAACCGACATTTCTAGCCCGACTGGCCAACACTCGTGACGGCCATTGGAGAAGCCCTCAAGCGTGGCCACAGAGACTCCTCCGGTGCTTCCGAAGTCGAAAGTGTTTCTCAATCCCCACAGTGCTTTGTGCCCAGAGTGCTCTGGAAACTGTTCCGCACACTATATCGCGCCAAATCAAGTGCTGTTTTGATTCAACTTCCGCCGGCGAAGGAAAAGTGTCACCGCGAGAAGAAGTAGTGGGAAAAGTGCCTTTTTGTGATACTGAGAGAGAGAGAGAGAGAAGAGGTGAGAGCATTTTGAGTGACGCCACATGCGCCAAAAAGTGAGCATAACTATGCAGGTGCTCATGTTGCATAAAGGCAAACATTTAACGAAAATTTGCCCTCAACAATATTTATCACTGAAGTGAACAATATTGTTTCCACTACACAAATATTTGAGTGTGTCCAACTCTTGCAGAATTTGAACGTTGATTGAAATCTATCAGTTGGCCAATATATATGGTAAAATTATTCCATACAATATACATTGAGCAATGGTAAATTAATAATGATAGAATTGAAAATTCAAACTATTTGCACACTTTTGAAGTTGTTGTATTTTTCACACACACACAGAAAAAATCAAGATTCTTATCAATTCGATTGGGTTAAGAGCACAAATCGATTGTCCAAATAGAAATGAGAAAAGACTCTTAGCCAGAGCAAAAACATCATTTTCCCATTGTTATCTCTGTGTGAAGATGCGAAAGAGAGAAACTAATGTGAATGCTCTAATAAATTCATATTGATGTAAACAACCACTTTCCCTCCTCATTCTTCTTCTATTTTTTTGCTCTGCATTCACTAAAATTCGTTACGAAAGACACGAAGTTTTTTCCGTCTTGGCGGCGCGCACACATCTCAAAACACACCATTCATCATCACGCACATGGACACAAAGTTGTGGGGGTGAAAGGCTGTCAAAAAAAGTAATGGAATGTCGTGAAAATGCATCTCAGTGTTGAATTAGAAAACTTTGATTAATTCTCCTCCATTGCAAATCGATCTCAAATGATACTTCTTAATAAATTTCTCCGCTGCGCGACGATGATGTTCGCCAAAAAGACGGCGAGTGATGATGAAGCTTTCACGATGCAGTGTCGTGGGAAAAAGTGACTCGGTGTAATCTCTGGGTCATATTGCAATTTTCCCGCGTGTCTGGCGACAAAAACGGATTAGCCACAAAAGGCACAAATAGGCTGAGATGCGGCTTTATTGCGAATTTAAACTTTGATCGAAGTCTTATCGTCTTTTCAATTACAATTACTTTTATAAACGCCACGAGAGACTTTATCTCCCACAAGTGGCTATATTTAAACAGTGATTCTTCTTCTCTCTAGGCTACCCTCAATGATACGGAGGGTCGCTCGGCGGAGCTTTTCGCACACAGAGGAAAAACACATTCTGTGGAGCGCCGAAGGAAAATTCATCACGGCAAATTGTGCATTAGTTTTACTTTGAGACTGCAATCTTTCGTCTTCTTGCATCAGCGAATCTTGGAGCTCAATCGATAAAACATTGAGCCAGAATTTCAATGGGTTTCAGTTCGAGACATGATTCGAGAAGTCTTCAATGATTTCTCAATGTTTCAAAGTCATTTGTAGAGAAACCATTTCAATAATCATCTTCTTGGAAGTAAAGAAACTCTTTTAACGGTTTTGCAAATGCAATTTTCAAATGTAAAATCCCAGAACAGAATTAGAAGAAGAAATGGATTATTAATAGCAATAAAAATTCGCATTGACTTTATAAAACACATCAAATGAATAAAATTCACCCTGAAGAAAACTTCAGATGAAGAAAAACCCTGGAAAAGGCCCAATTTTTATTGAGAAATTGCCGGAAATTCGCTGCAACAGCGGAAATTGAGCATTTTTTCGAAAGGAAATTGGAATATTATCACATTTTCACTGTTTTCTCGGCAAGCTTTTTGACAATTGCTCATAAAAATTGCCAATTTGTCACAATTATTTGAAGCATTTGAAAGAATGTGGAGTGAAGCCAAGAACTTTTCCGGCGACCGCTTAACAATATTCTCGATTCTCTTCTTTTACAGAGACAACAGAGAGAGAGAATGATGGTGTCCAAGTGTCAGAGTGTCGTAAATATTTTCCACATCTCGGGCATTCTCTGGCTGATGCTCCTCGCAATCGCAGTCCGGGAGTGCGAGGGCAGAGTTCGCAAGTCTTGCGGCTCTGAGTTGGCTGATCGGATAGCGAGTGTCTGCAATGGCGAGTACAATGAGCTCTACTTCAGCGACAGTGGTAATTCCTCAGACACCGTGCTCAAGCCGAACAGCTGCCCTAATCCTCCCTCTCTCTCCTACTCCAGAGCCACACACGAGGGTGCGCCGGGGGATCGTGGACGAGTGCTGCAAGAACAGCTGCTCGGACTCGAAGCTGAAGAGCCAATACTGCCAGACCAGAGACGACTCGGACGCCGTGTCGGATGACTCCAGCGTGTACGTGTCGAAGGAGGAGCATCCGCCGGAGGAGCAGACCAAGAGCCCCTTCGAGCACATCCTGCGCCACCTGAGGCTGTCGACACCGGAAATTGGCACTGTGGCGCCGGAGTTCAATCTCAGAGGAATGATACCACCGCAGTACAGAACACAGGACATCCGCTTCCATTAATTTATTTATTTAACTCTAGTGTAGTCGCTTAGGCGGTGACATTTATTTTTTCGAATTGCGCAGCGTCCATGAGAGATTTTATGCTGTGAGAGAAAAAAAGGGAGAAATTCATATGGTTTCAAAGCTAAACTTTCCATCCTTTTATGAATACGAAAAGTTTCTCGACGATAACAAGCTGAACATTATGTAGCCTTTGCCTCTGAATCTCTTCCACAATTGCGATCGTGATTCTGTGAATTTTTATTGTCATGAGAGATTTGGGCGAGAAAAAGCAGCGCAGAAATCTCTGTTTAAATGCTTGGACAATTTTGCTGGACAAAATGGTCCGAAATGTGATATTTGAAAATGTACATTTCCTCAAATCGTTCGCAGAGGAGTTCGACATTTGTGATATTTACTGTCGTGTTGTATCTCGGAAAATGCCAAAAGTACGAGCATATGTAGAGGAATAGATGTAGCGAAAGAATGGGTGAAAGTAGCAATAACTTTCGGTGATAAATTGTGATGGCACTGTAGTTTGTCACAACTTGTTCACACACAGTGCCTATTTCTGCTCTCCGCGCGATAGGCAGTCTCAAAATATACATGATAAACTTACACTAAAGACAAATCTATGTACTGGTTATGAATATACATATTAATCAGGCGACTAATGGACACATGAAAATTGATAAACCCCAGAAAGTTTGTATACAATTATCAATCTTATGCTCCAGAACTGTGGAATATCGCTTCGCCCTGGACTTCACTAGCGATGTCACAACATCCGTGAAATTTTTGGCCAATAAAGTACTCTATGTGTTACGTCACAGTCTTATAATTATGCTGCAAGGATAAAATTGCTGGAGCGCCTCATAAAAACTATGCAAAGAAATGATCTCAGTTTGTATTTTGACTGGACTTCAATCATCACAGTGTCAAATAGTGTCTGTGCGCTAATTGTGTCTCAATTCATTTTTTACTCCTTCCACTCTTTATCAACAAATTAATAGTTTTAGTAACGAGAGACTTTATCAGGATCATCTTCATTCATTCGTTCATTTTCCCGCCATTCGATTGTCGCTGAAATCTCGCTCAATTTTTCCCCTCCTTTATGGCAAATGCCCCTCTCACGACGGCAGCGCCGCCAAGTGTGTTGTTGGAGTTTTCGTGGTGTTTTTTGACACGTCAGACTGGTGCAATTTTTTGGAAAATAATCTCTGTTTTTGTTAAAAATACCACTTCATTTGCTGTTGCCACCATCCACAAGTGTTAAGTGAGTGTCCCTGCAAAGATCATCACGAAGATTTCACAGGAAAACCGGAGAGTTCACTGTGTTTTCGTGTCACATCGTCTTAACCTCATTATTCGCGGTGTCTCCGAAGCCCATTTTCACCCCTTTTTCATCCGCTTTTCCCCCAGACATGTCTGTCACCGAAGGGCCCTGCTACACTATAATCAACTCCCAGGACTCCGATCCGTACAATGAGATGCAGCTGAAGCAGGATCTCGAGAAGGGCGACACGCCAGTGAAGATCGAGACACTGAAGAAAGTGATTCAGTTGCTGCTCAACGGAGAGCGACTTCCCGGCCTGCTGATGACCATCATGCGCTTCGTACTTCCACTGCAGAATCACACCATCAAGAAGCTCCTTCTCATCTACTGGGAGATTGTGCCCAAGACGTCTCCGGACGGGAAATTGCTGCAGGAGATGATCCTCGTGTGTGATGCGTACAGGAAGGATCTGCAGCATCCCAATGAGTTCCTCAGAGGCTCCACGCTGCGCTTCCTGTGCAAGCTCAAGGAGCCCGAGCTCCTGGAGCCTCTGATGCCGGCAATCAGGGCGTGTCTGGAGCACCGTCACTCGTATGTGCGCCGCAATGCCGTCCTGGCCATCTTCACCATCTACAAGAACTTCGAGTGGCTCGTGCCCGACGGTCCTGAGCTCATTGCCAACTTCCTGGACACGCAGCAGGACATGTCGTGCAAGAGGAACGCCTTCCTCATGCTCCTGCACGCCGATCAAGAGAGAGCGCTGAACTATCTCGCCTCCTGTCTCGACCAGGTGAACAGCTTCGGAGACATTCTGCAGCTGGTGATTGTGGAGCTGATCTACAAGGTCTGCCACGCCAATCCGTCGGAGCGCTCGCGCTTCATTCGCTGCATCTACAATCTCCTGAACTCTTCCTCGAACGCCGTGCGCTACGAAGCCGCCGGCACGCTGATCACGCTCTCGACCGCGCCTACGGCCATCAAGGCCGCCGCAAGTTGCTACATCGAGCTGATCATCAAGGAGAGCGACAACAACGTGAAGCTGATCGTCCTGGACCGCTTGATTGCGATGAAGGAGAACGAGAACATGGAGAGAGTGATGCAGGATCTCGTGATGGACATTCTGCGCGTCCTGGCCGCCCCGGACATCGAAGTGCGCCGCAAGACGCTGAATTTGGCCATGGATCTCGTGTCGTCGCGCAACATTGAGGAATTGGTGCTGGTGCTGAAGAAGGAAGTCTCCAAGACGCACAACATTGAGCACGAAGACACGGGAAAGTATCGCCAATTGCTGGTCAGGACGCTTCACACGTGCTGCATTAAGGTGAGTGTCAAGAAGGTCGGAAGAGAGCGAATCACAATCATTTCACATATTTTCCCTTAACACAAAAAGCACTCAGAGAAAGGAGAACGTCCTCAGGTAAAGGATAAAATCTCCCTCGGAATTATGACTAATCAATTTTTGCCCCTCAAAGAGAGGAAGAATCTGACGCTCTTGCTGCCTTCCTTGCAGTTCCCTGACGTTGCTGCGACTGTCATTCCGGTTCTCGTGGAGTTCCTGTCTGACACCAATGAGCTGGCAGCCACTGATGTGCTGATCTTCATCCGCGAAGCCATCCAGAAGTTCGATCACTTGCGCTCTCTGATCATTGAGAAGCTCATTGAGTCCTTCCCGGCGATGAAGTCTGTGAAGGTTCATCGTGCCGCGCTGTGGATTCTGGGCGAATACGCCGCCTCGGCCAGAGACATCCTGCAGGTGTTTGAGGTGGTTGCCGAGACGCTCGGCGAGGTGCCAATTGTGGAGGCGGAGCAGAAGAAGCTGCTGGGCGAGCAGACGACGGAGGAGGAGCAGAAGAAGAGTGTGGGCAGTGTGCCGTCGAACAAGGTCACGTCGGATGGCACTTATGCCACGCAGAGTGCTTTCAGTGTGGCGCCGGCGCCGACCAAGGAGCAGCGTCCGCCGCTGCGTCAGTACTTCATGGACGGCGACTTCTTCGTCGGCACCACGCTGGCCGCCACGCTGACCAAGCTCGTGCTGCGCTACATGGACGTGGAGGCGAACGAGCAGAAGCACAACCGTCTCTGCACCACAGCCATGCTGACGATGAGCAGCATTTTGCACCTGGGCAAGTCCGGCTTCCCCACGAAGCCCATCACGAATGACGACGTGGACAGGATCTTCCTGTGTCTGAAGACGCTCAGCGAGCGCACGCCGGGCATTGTGGAGATCTTCAAGGAGTTCTGTCGCGAGGCGCTGGGCTCGATGTTGCTGGCGCAAAATGAGGAGGAGAATCAGGCGCTGCGTGAGAAGCAGAAGGCAGCCGCCAAGGTGCAGGCGGATGATCCTGTGATGTTCGCACAGCTGGCGAGCGGCAGGAATGATCAGCTCGGCGAGAATGTGTTCGAATCGAGTCTGAATCAGGCGCTGGCGGGCACGAAGAGCACCGCGCTGTCGGATGTGGCGTCGCCCAGCAGCAAGCTCAACAAGGTCACGCAGCTCACGGGCTTCTCCGATCCCGTGTACTCCGAGGCGTACGTGCACGTGAATCAGTACGACATCGTGCTGGACGTGCTGATTGTCAATCAGACCAGTGACACGCTGCAGAACTGCACGCTTGAGCTCGCCACGCTGGGCGATCTAAAGCTGGTGGAGCGACCGCATCCCGTCGTCCTGGCGCCACATGATTTCTGCAACATCAAGGCCAACGTGAAGGTCTCCTCCACGGAGAATGGCATCATCTTCGGCAATATCGTGTACGATGCCGGCAATGTGTCGAATTGCGTGGTGCTGAACACCATTCACATCGACATCATGGACTACATCCTGCCGGCGTCGTGCAACGACACGGAGTTCAGGCGGATGTGGCAGGAGTTTGAGTGGGAGAACAAGGTGGCCGTGAACACGACGCTCACGGATTTGCACGATTATCTCAAGCATCTGCTGCATTCCACCAACATGAAGTGTCTCACGCCAGAAAAGGCGCTCTCCGGACAGTGTGGCTTCATGGCGGCCAATATGTATGCCAGGTAATTGCAAACTGCCCCCAAAAATCGATCCTCAAGGACTAATTGACGTGCACTTTCAGGTCCATCTTCGGCGAAGACGCTCTGGCCAATCTCAGCATTGAAAAGTCTGTCGACAATCCCAACGCTCCAGTTATTGGACACATTAGAATCCGAGCGAAGAGTCAAGTGAGTCGAAAGTCGGAAGATCACGCAAGATTCTCACCAATTCACTCTCTTTCACTCTGTTTTTCCAGGGAATGGCCCTCAGTTTAGGCGACAAAATCAACCTGACGCAGAAAGGACCGCAGAACAAAATCATCTCAGCCTTCTAATTTCATTCCGCGCGCGGCTTAATGTGCAAAACAGTATAATGGAGTATTTAACCAGCAACAATTCGATGAATAAAGGATCTTGTGTAAGAAGCCCGGAGGCTGTTTAATTCCAGAGTGTTGAATGCTTACAGATTAGGGTAGAAATGCTGTCAAATTGAGGTGGTTTAGAGGCCTCCTCTGCCTCTGCCGCCTGTGGGGCCACCTTGCCATGCTCCGCCGCGTCCGGCTGCGCCTCTCCCGCCACTGGCTCCTCTTCCTCTGCCCCGAGCAGCTGTTAAAGCAACGAAAACACACATTAATCACACTCAAAAGCAACCAAAACACCACAAACGACTCACCTTGTGCCCGCAGAATCGCCGATTTCCCACGCCCGGCCGTGCCGGACTTTGCGCCCTGTTTCTTGAACATGGGCGCATTCTTCAGCATGTCGGGCAGTATGAGGAAGCGTATTTTGGAGCCACGGATGTACACGTTCTCCAGATTGGCCGTCCGCCCGTCGCGATAGGTCACTGTGATCTGGGTCATCTGGCAGTTCATGTTGTCCTCCGCCTCGATCAGCTTCCCTCGATACACCTCGCCGGTGATGGTTTCGCACGTCACGATGTGACCCTCCGCCTCGTGCAGCACTTTGATGGGCACTCCAATGGACATTTTCACGCACTCGCTGGCTAAACTCGGGGAAAAGACGCTCTTCCTGAGATCCTTTTTGCAAAAGTGTAAACAAAGCCACCCGGCAAACGTTTACCTTCCGGCTGTCAAAATTCGCCGCGCTCTCAATATATTCACCACGATATATCGGAATGAATTTGAATTTAATCGTTGCCAGGAAACCGGAAAATGCAGGAAAATGTTTTATCGATTTTCTTTGATTTTCTGGAAAAGTCTGCAGTCAAGTGTGAGATGAATCGCTTCAGCAGAGTTTCATCTTCGGCTAAATCTTCCCGGAGTGTGGAGAAAATTCACAATGAGAAGAAGAAAAGTGCTCGAAGAAATGCACAAACGGCTCTTCCTCGCAAAAGGTAAAAAGAAAACGAAGAAACCTTTAATGATTCTCTGAAAGTCTTCCATAATTCCCCAATTCTCTGCAGACACAGAACCTGCCTGATGAGGCAGAGAAGCAGTGCTGATGATGACTTTGAGGAGAGCATTTGGCATTTGGTCAGAGAGGATGTCAGTGAGGAATTTCGTGAATTTCCTCCTTCACAGGAAGATAAACCACAAAACAAGACAATTTCTCAGCAGGAGCGCAAGAAATTGGCCGAAGAGTGTGAAAAGAGGAAGCAGCGATTGCAGGAAATAGACAAGATACGAGCCAGTAAGAAGATTCCAGAGAAATCCCTGCTGGATGTGAACGAGGATGATCAAGTTGTGCTTCTGGACCGCGCCTTCGTGGCGAAGCAGGAGCAAGAGGAGGAGGTGAAGAGAGCTAACAGATTGATCCTCGCCACCAAATGCCATGTAATTCGTGATGCTCAGATCGCCGAGAAGAACGAGATCGACAGGGAATTGCGCCAGGAGGATGTGCGCCTGGAGAGGATAATGCTGGAGGACAGAGAGAAGGCCCTCAAAGAGGCAGAAGTGCGCATCCAGAAGGAGAAAGTCCTGAACGTTCTGCACGCCTCGGAGTTGCAAAAGCAACTCGAGGAGCGCGAGAAGAAGCGCCACAGAGAAGCGGAGAGGATTGAGAATGAAGCACAGAGAATGGCCAGAGCTCAAGTGGTGCTCCAGAGGGATTTGGAGGAGCGCGAGCAGTTGCAGCGGGAGAAGAATCAGAAGCTCAGGGATGATCTTCATCGCGCCAATGAGTTGTCTGAGTGGTTCCGACGCATGGAGTTCGAGAGGGAGCGGATTGAGGAGATGAGGATCCAAGAGTACATGCGGAAGAGACAGCAGAGGGAGGAAAAACTCGAGCAGGAGCGCCAGCTTGCCAGGGAGAGGCGCGAGAGAGAGAACGATCGGATGCTGAAGCAGCAACAGAAAGTGATTGACGCGGCCATCGAGCGATTCGACATCATGATTCGCCGGGAGCAGGAGCTCAAGGAGCGAGAGTTTCGCCAGCGAGAGAAGGAGGCTGTCATCAGGCGGAAGGAAGCCGAGCAGGCGATCATGGAGGCGCGACACAAGCAACAGGAGGAAGTGCGAAAGCTGCGGATGAAGGAAATCGAGAAAGATCGCGCAGATCACGCCAGAGTTCTGCAGAAGCTGCGATCGGAGGAGGAGAAGGAAAAGTCCCTGGAGAAGCTTCGGCACGCCGGGAGGGAGAAGTACAGGAAGGAGATAATTGATCAGATGAAGGAGAGAGAAATTTTCAGGCAGAAAATGCGAGTAAAGGCTCGAGATGAGTTGAATGCCGTGAGAGAAGCTGAGAAATTGAGGGAAATGAATATTCGGCAGGTGATTTCGTCGAAAATTCAGCAAATGCGCTCCAGTAAAATCCCAGAAAAATTCATCCATGATGTGGAAAGACAGCTGAAGATCGACAATAGCTAAAAAGAAATGCATTCATTGCAATATCGGTCATTTTTCCGCAAACCCTATCTAATATTTTTTATATACTGAAAATACAGCATTACTGAATCACTATTAAAGAGAGATTTTTCTTTATTCTTAGCTTGCTTTTAGCGAAAAGGCCAAAATTTCATACACAATTGCGCCAAATATCAAACTCACCTCAATCATTCCTAAAGCCAACTTCACACTGTCGGCGCGGTGGTGAATTTCTTGACTTCCAACACGTGTTTTTGTTTACATTTTCCTCGACTGAACGCGGATTTCGTGAAAAGTCCTTAAAACGCGATAAAATGTCAGAAGAAAACATAAAGCTAGGCGATTATATTGTGATACAGCGGCAAAAGTACACAAAATTGTACAAATTCACTGGGAAAACCGCAGTGGCAGTTCTGGGGAAGCAGAAAATCGACCTGTCCAGCATCGATGGACTGCCCTATTTCTCTACATTCCGGATGGTGCCCCAGAGCGACAGCAGCAAAGTGTTCAAGTTGGAACTGTGTACGAATCCCCATGACATCAAGGACACCATTGCCATCGACAAGAGTGGAAAAGACAATCGCGACATCAACGATGACGGTCGATCTCAGGCGCTGACGGAGGATGAGATCAAGAATCTGCGGGAGACTTGCGAGACATCCACGGAAATTGTGGAGCAACTCGTGGACAACTCGAAGACTTTCGCGTCAAAGACGGAATACGCCCAAGAGAAGTACCTGAGGCGAAAGGAGAAGAAGTACTACGAGTATTTGCAGATCAGAAAGCCATCGATAAGGCTGATCTTCGACATCTACTTCCGACAGGATCCGGAGAAGCTGATGGGCATGCGAATGGACACTCTGTCGCAGATCATCACGCACTCTGGTATCTGCAGTGCTGGCAAGCACATGGTGTACGAATCGGGGACGAATGGAATCGTCTTAGCGGCATTTCTCAACTCTTCCGGAGACGCTGGAGACTCTCACATCGTCTATGTGCACCAGGGAAATGTGCCGCACAAGCAGGCAGTGCTGGCGATGAATTTCCCAGAGTCGTACAATGAGAAATTCACGCCAGTCAACATTTACTCAGTATTGAGACACTTTTACCAGAAAGACTGCGTCCAGGAAGGGATTCAGGAGGAAGATGCAGAGCCCGAGGCGAAGAAGGTGAAGATGGACGATGAGGAGAAGAAGAAGTGGGAGCTGGAGAATGCCAGAGCGTGCGCAATCATGCGCGATAAGGTGGACTCACTGGTGATCGTGGCCAGAGAGCATCCCAGTGCGATCTTCAAGGAACTCGTGCAGTTTGTGCGCCCCGGAAGACCCTTCGTCATCTACAGTCCCTATCAGGAGGTCCTGGCGGAGTGTTTTGGTGACTTGAAGGCCTCACAGCCCGTGCTGAATGTGCGTCTCTACTCCACCTTCCTCCGCACCTATCAAGTTCTGGCCGACAGAACACATCCGGATGTGAGCATGAGCGGCAATTCGGGCTTCACGCTCTGCGGTTACGTCGTGAAGAAGGAATGCAGCGAATAAATTCACTCGAAAAATATATGCATTGTATTTTCCTAGCTATAACTCAAACTTAATCACAAAATAAGTAGCTGACCTGGAAGCCACAGCTGCTCCTGTACACTTGAGGGAGTATTTGGGCGTTCTCTGCGAGGCTGTTGAGTGCACTCTGGAGCATCTTGCACGAGATTTCCGTCTGCGTGACATTGGCATCGCCCAGCCATTGACCAATCTGCGGCACTTGCGCCTCCTCGCCACTCTGGTACATCACTTTCATCGCCGTGCCGCGGCCGAGCTGCAGACAATCACTTCCCGGACTGCTCTGCGAGCGATAAACATCCAGCTTCTTGTCCACAATCTGCAGCAGCAAATAGCAGACACTTCCTTCGGGCAGATGACAGTTGAATGCGATCTTCTGGAAGTGCGCGAGTCCACATTGTCCCGCCATCGTGAAGTCCAGCAAGATTTTGCGTATGATTGTGCGAAAATTGGTCATTTGGCTGATATTTGGCATTAAGTTCATCTCCTCGTGACGCTCAGTGGTGAAGAGCACACATTCATTCCACACTCTCACTCTGCTCTCATCCAGCAATCTGCCCAGCAGCTGAAGACACCGCTGACAGTACACAAGGCCATTTCTCTCCCGCACATTCGCCACTGAACCTCTGTTGATGGTGAAGAAGAAGTTTCCGTAGAAGATTTCATCGAGTTTCGGTGTCAAAATGTCACAATTCCCCGATGATGACGGCTTGTGGCAGAACCAATCGCTGGAATCTGCACTCTCCGAGGGTAACTCCAGCACACGTCGCAGATAAATACTTCCGCGCGCCACCAGGAAGGCTTTGCAGTTGGAACAGAGCAGCCCGTAAGATCTGCCGGACTTCAAGTGCACGGGAATTGTGAGTTGTGTGCCACCTGAGGGATTCACAGAAATGATCTCTTCCCTGAACTGTTCGCTATTTGTGTTTATCCGGAAGCTGATGTGTTTCCCCGCGGCGATCATTGAAGTCAGCGAGTGAGTGTTGAGAGTGAAATTGTCCAGGACAATGCGAAGAGTCTTCTCCGGGAGTTTCAGGATGATTTCCGTGGGTTTCACACTCAACTTCACCGATTCCTTCACGCTCTCCTGCAGCTGGATGAAGACACAGGCTGACTGAAGTCTCGGCCGATGCTCAACCAGCAAAGTCGCCACTCCGTCGCATCTAATCTCGCTTGAGGGACTTGCGACAGTCCGAATCACGCCTGAAGTCATCCCAGAGGCGATCGTTCTGGCGCACAACGAAGGACAGCGTGGCTCGCTGATAGTAATCCGGCATCAGTTCGATGTTGCTGATCACGCTGTCCAGCAGGTGACTCTTCTCGCAGAAGATTCCCGGCGCGTCGTGCTTTAGGTAGGTGAAGTGAACATGGAGATGGTAGAAGGAGGGCTGGTAGTGCAAGTAGATCCTGAGCTGAGAGCGTGCGACACCATATTTCTCCTCAATTGCCGCCACGCCCTTCGTCAGGATATTCCGCAGCAGCGGCAAGTGGCTCGCATTGAGATCGCGCAGGGACTTAATGCCACGCTTCCTCACCAGGGCCAAGCAGTAGAGTGTCTCAGCGGTCTTGTTGTCCCACTTGAGGTCTGGCAGCAGGATAAATCCCGTCTCCTCGCACGCGTCCTCAAACACAATGCGATCCTTCTCCTTCTTGTGCTCCAAAATGTTGTACAGCCACTCGAGGGAGAATTGCTCCTTCTCCAGATGCTTCAGCGTCAACTCCCTGTACAGCTCTGGCGTCTCCTGGACAATGTGAATCTCCTGCTTCGAGTACTTCTCAATGTGCTTCTCAGTTGCCGGATAAATCACCGTTGTCTTCACACCTGCAACGAAAGGTGACAAATTACCCAATTAATCCCGTCATTCACACACTGCAAGACATTACTATTGATATCCGGACGAGGGAAACACTCAAAGTTCCCGTAAATATCATTCACAAACTCCTTCCGGAGAGTTGTTGAGTCACTGAAGAAGCCCGTCTTTGAGGTTAGATCAGCCTCAGTGAAGGCTTTCTTCTCCAGAATCACAATCGCCCGCTTCTCCTGTGACAGATTCTTGAAGCGCCCCAGCAGGGACACGGTTTTACTCCCGGAATTACTATTGAGAATTCTGTCTAGCTGAAATTGTGAAAAATCGTACTGCACAGCGTCCTTCTCTGTTGCCTCATTCCCACTCATTTTCCTGCTGAGATCCTGCGGATTTCCCTTGATTTCCTGCGACTACACCTTCAGACAACGACACTGCTGCTGTTAAATGAAAGAAAATCCGGATTTTCTCGCTAATTACCGTGAGAATTGTGAAAAATGGTGACGCATGAAAACTCCACACACACGCACTATAAAACAAGTGGCAACATGCCATAATCCCGCTCACTTTTTTATGGCACCAAGCATGTGATGTTTTGAGGTTAGATCAGACAATCGAAAACACAACGCTTTTCCCGTGATTTTCGCGAAAATGTTCATTTTCTCGCACTCGCAGGAGCAAAGTCAATTGTTATTAGCTAGTGGGAAGTGTCTTCTTTCCTTGGACACTGGGAGCGATGTCGTAAGCACGTTCAATCTGCCGGAAAGGAAGGATCCCGTTGAGGCAGACGATGAGGATGATACCAAAACAAAGCCACCGGGCGAGGTGAATCGAGACATCCAGAACTGTGCGGTGTCCGGATGCAAGTCCCTGGCAGTCACGACAAACGACAAGTTCCTCTTCCTCTTCAGCATCTCCAAGTGGTTTCCGCTTGAGGCCAATCTCGTGGCAGAGCGCAAGATTCCGCGAGTTTCTAGTTCTCTCAGATTCTCTAGGGACGGAAGTGAGTTGCTGGTGGCAGACAAGAGCGGAGACTGTGCGGTGTACAACTGCAAAGAGGAGGATAATCTCGCGGAGAGACAGCTGGGCGGCCACTTGAGCATCGTCACGGATATTCTCTTGACGGCCGATGAGAAGTTCTTCGTCACGAGCGATCGAGATGAGAAGATTCGCGTCACGAGATTCCCCGAGAGTCATGAGATCGAATCTTACTGCCTTGGGCACAGAGAATTTGTGTCGCAGATTGATCTGCTGCCACACGATGAATCCATTCTTGTGTCTCTGTCCGGAGATTCGACGCTGCGCTTCTGGAATTACCAGAAAGGGAAGCAAATCTATCAGATTGATATTCCTGCGGCTGGCATCCGGATGGTTAGCAGAGCCGAAGAGGCTTCATCGAGTGTCTTTGCCATTTACATGCACGAAACCGACTGTCTGCTGATTGTGAGAGTTTCTGGAGCGCTGGAATTGCATCATGAAGTGCTGAAGAGTATTCCGGTGAAGGATTTCTTCGTGAGTTCTCTCATCTTCACTGATTCCCAACTGTTGTGCTTTGGAGTGGTTCAGAAAGAAGAATATCACTCTAAAATCCTGGGATTCAATTCAACTGACTGGAATTCAACTGACTTCTCCCGAGTCAATGAGACTTTGAAGGATCGCTTGGGAAGCTTTCGGGACAGGAATCCCGGACAGAGCATCTCAGGGCTATTCAAGAAGAAGTACTCCAACATCGAGGAGTATCACGAGCGAAAGAGGAAGCGTCTCGAAGGCAAAGAGAGCAATAAATGATGCTTTACTCATAAAAATTTCTCCTTTATTATTCATTTATCAGATAAGCAGTGATTATTGTGAATTGATTATACCGGCTTGTAGTCCAGTTTGCTTTCCAGCTTCTTGTTGTCCGCCACCTTCCTCACTGCCTTCATGAAGTCCTCCTGGATGACGTACTCCCGCTCGGCGCGGATCGCGAAGAGACCAGCTTCGGTGCAGACATTCCTCAAGTCGGCGCCGTTGAAGTTGTCCGAGAGCTTCACCACGGCCTCATAATCAATCTCTCCGTGCTTCGCGATGGGCAGCGCGTGGATCTTCAGGATCTCCAGGCGCGCCTGCTCGTTGGGCAGTGGAATCTCGATCTTCCTGTCGAGACGCCCGGGACGCAACAGCGCCGGATCGAGAGTGTCCGGACGATTGGTGGCCATGATCATCTTCACCTGTCCCAGAGAATCGAAGCCATCCATCTGGTTGAGCAGCTCCATGAGCGTGCGCTGAATCTCACGATCCGCCGACGTGCCCTCGGAGAATCGCCTGCCGCCGATGGCGTCGATCTCATCCATGAAGATGATGCACGGCTGATGATCTCGGGCGTAGTTGAACATCTCGCGAATCAAGCGAGCGCTCTCGCCGATATACTTGTCCACAATCGCACTGGAGACGACTTTGAGGAAGTTCGCGTCCAACTGAGAGGCCACAGCTCTGGCTAGCAGGGTTTTCCCAGTGCCTGGAGGCCCGTAGAGAAGACACCCTTTCGGCGGCGTGATTCCCACTCTGAGGAAGAGCTCAGGATTGAGCAGAGGCAGCTCGATGACTTCCCTCAATTCTCTAATCTGCTCAGACAGACCACCGATGGCCGAATACGTCACATCTCCGGGATCCTCGTGAGACATGTTGTAGACCAGAGGATCCACTTCGCGTGGAAGATATCTCATGATCGTCAGAGTGGTCATGTCCAGCGCCACTCGCGTTCCAGACTTCAGCTTCGTCTTGTCCAACTGACGACGACAACCCACAACGTAACGCGGACCATTTGTCGCCTTCACGATGACTGGAAAGGGACAAAGAAAAAGCCTCATACAGAAAGCGCTCCCAAAACATTCTCCACACATTGACCTTACATTTATCCTCTGTGAGTTGCTTAAGAACCTCGCCCACAATCTGCCCGACACTCTGCAGGGCCTTCAGATCATTCTCCGACTTGTCGAATTGCTTCGTGCGCTCCTTCAGCTGCTCTCGCACTGCAAAAGCGCCCCATTAGTGGGATTCCGCAGTGTTTTTCTCGAGGATGATTTGTCAAAAAGCCTCAACATAACCTCAACCACCCAAATACTCACTCTCTTTCAGCTTCGACTCCACCTCCTTGTGCTCCAGCAGCTTCTTCCGGTAGTCCTGCAGGGACTTGTCCCTCAGAGGATCAAACTGGGCCCCATTAGATGCCATTTCCCAACAATTTCACACTTCTTCTGCACTCTTTCACTGTGTTTTCCAACTCGTCTTCTCCCCTCTCTTCTGCTTCAGGGTGGTGAATTCGCGGCAGTGCTGCCAACTGTGGTGGATTCGCGACCGCAGCCGAAGGCGCGCCGCGAACGCCGGGCGATGTCGCTGTCAGTCTCGAATTCGGCAGTCATGGAGCGCCCTGCAAAATGCTCGGTCGGAGTTTCTAGTGCAGGTAGAATTGAGTGAAATCAACAAAATCAATAACAAAAGTGATAAAATGTGGTAACATGGCTGTTGTGGGGTCATTGGAACGCATCCTGGAGGATGCCCACCTGAGTGGGGAGCTGAAATTGAGCGGCAGGAAGTTGAAGGATATCCCAAAGGCAGCCGGAAAATACAACTTGAGTGATACGGTTTTTGCAGGTAAAAATGTCGTCCTGCGCCAAAGGCGACGCTCTGGGGCGATGCCAGGTGGCCCAGAGAGATAGTTGGGAACACCCTTGTGCTGGGCAGTGCAGCTGAAATGACGAGAAAAGATGTTCTCTCGCGTTGGGCGTCGATGCCTTTGTCCGCATATTTTATGAGCCCCTCCTTGAAACGCCAACTCAACTCCGTCTCGGGCACAAAAAGACCTCTTTTCCACTGCATGGAGACTCTCTCTCACTCTCTCCATGGAGGAGACTCTTCTGCCATCTATTTTCGGCTGGGCCTCCCCTCGCCGCGGCCCTTCTGCTCACCCCAGAACGCCTCGAGAGACTCTCTGGTTCCCATCCAATTATCTCGTCGCCACTCAGGTTTTAGCAATAAAAGTAAACAATTAAGGCTCCTCGGGAGTGCAGCGTTCTCATCCCACGGGAGAGCCATTTTCCCGGCACATCTGCTGCAATTTCCCAACGGCGGAAAAGCCCCTTCGCTGCGGCCAAATCGATAAGAATCTGCACACGAGAAGAATGCCACACATTCACTCCACCATTTGTCCTCAATTCGCATCGGATAACTTGATTTTCGTTGCATTTCATTCATGCGCGGGCTTCCGGTGCCCTCTGGGGCTCTGCAGTGTGTACTGGCCAGCAGACTGCCCTCATCCCCAGACAGGACGTGCGTTAAGGGGTTGGAAAAGGGACAGAATTAGAATTAAAGACACGAAATTGAGTGGCGTTAGGAAGTGGATATTTCGGGGAATTCCAAATTTTGCGTGATATGTCGCTCTTAGTCATTGCTAAAGGCACAATGAGACAAAGCCAGACAAAACAGCCATTCAAGCCTTCAAGCAGTGCTTAATGGGAAATCATGCAGGGTTCCAATAAGTTGATTTGCCAATTGGTGATGATTTCTTGGCTAATTTGAATCTTTACTGCAAGAAATTGCAATTTCTAGAGCCAAAATGAACGCTCAAAATACTATTCTTAACATTTCTAGATGTAGAAAATGTCTTCTGTGCACTTTAAGTAGATCACAAGCAATTTCAAGTTAGTTCCAGTTGATTTAGCCAAATGACTTTCTCAATTATCGCTCTAATTGGAAGCATCTTGTGCCAGTTTAATCCAGTCACAGCGATAATTTCCGATTCACGCAATATAAAGGCACATTTTGTAATCGCGATTATGTTGACGCTTCTGAGAATTCATCGTCCGATTAACTACGCTTTGGCTAAATTTTGCACTCAATGCCGGAATTGATTAGAATAAATCTGCATTTGGATTTGATTGTGTGACACAGAATGGCGTGTGTAGAATTCTAAATTAAAGAGCGAGAGAGAGAGAGAGTTTTGATGTACATTTTGAGATGAAATGTGTGACAAAATGTATGTTGTTTCCAAGGCTTTTTCTATTTCTAGAAATCAATCTAAAATACACACGAGAGATTATTCCCTGACACTCTTCGTGAGGGTTGCGCGCGTGAGATTGTAAAAATGTCTCTATTTTTTCACTCTGTCTCTCCCAACTCGTCTATAAACGATCAAATGTTGGAGAACAATGTACAGAAATAGCGTCACTTTAACTCGTGTTTATTTCTTCTTGGCTTTTTTCTTCTTTCCTTCTTCGCGCGACGCTCTTCAATTCCGGAAGAATGTCAACAAACTTATAGAGAGAGTGTTTTGGACGCTGAATGTGTGCGTGAGTGTGAGAAGGAGTAAGACCACCCCTTTCCTTAAGCCAATTAGCGCCACAAGGAGCCGACTTATCGGACGAACGAGTTGAACTTCTCTTGAGCCTGTGCAATGGTGTGTGAGAAAGAAATGTAATTGTTCAGATGGGTTGAGGAGGAAGAAGATATACACAAAGGTCTTGTTACTATAAAGCTCAAAATTGCTGGGCGGCTGGTTAATATCACAAAAATATTATTATTACATTACATGATGTTGTCTTGCTGGTGGAACTTGAGAATATATGAGGGAAATGAGTTACGTAAAATAAGAAAATCAATTAATAGGCCTCAAAAGCGAAGCGAGTTTCTCGAGAGATGATTATGTTTGAATGAGGGAAGCAGAAAAAGTCATAATTCGAGCTTATTTTCCAATGTCTTTTTCAACTCTCTCTCACTCTATTGTGATAAAAAAGAACGCGTGTGTGTGTGTGTGAAAGTGTTGTTAGATAACAGACAGAATGACGGAATGGAAGAGTTGGTAATTTAATTATTGGCAAAAAGAAGGTAAAAATCGATCTTCTGGCGATGATAAAATAAAAGCTGCCAAAAAAGGTCTATTTTGAGAAAAGTGATTGAAGCGTGGATTTTTCTCGCACATACTTTTGTGTTTTGTGACTCTCTTGAATTTCATGTTCATTTAAACGCCAATTGGAGTTTAATTATTCAACGTAACGGCTCAATTTTCTCCGATTAGTGGAGAGAGAGAGAGAGAGAGTGAGTGAGTGGTTTACATAATTAACTTAGATACAGCATATAAAATACATGAACAGCATTTGCGTTTAACCGGCTTGCGTACGAAGGTTTTAGCAGGCAACCTTTATTAAGGCATGATATTGAAACGTGTTTGAACAAGTGCTATTTTCAATTAAATATTAATGAAAGAAAAAGAAAGATGGGCAAAGATGCGTGAGTTTGAAGAACGGATAAATGTGACGTAAGTTTCTAACAATAAAAGGTAGAAACTTTATTGCTGCAGGTTCACGTTTCTTTTATACCTGTGTTCCTTGGAAGACGATGAAGGGCTAACGGATAGAGGGAGAATTGAAAAGAGTGAGAATTCCTGTGGAGAAATACCTGTGAAGATTAAATCTTTCCGTGGAACGTTGAGGGTGAAAGAAATGGAAAGCTGCAGAGTCGTGAAGACGGAAAATAGTTATAGAAATTCTGTCGTTTACAACTCTGTGGTCAATATGTTGGTTTTTGTTTGTGTAAATGTAAACGAATCGCACAGAATGTTGTAATAAAATTTATCACTGGTTTTCTATGCCAATTGAACTCGCGCTATCGCTAAAAATGCGATGTCGTTGTTGAAGAAAAAGACTCTTTCAAATGAAAATTGCCAACCCAGTTTTGTAATCTGACTTCTCGCCATGCGAACATTACTTTTGTGTCTCAAGTGTTCAGTGAACCATCATTTTTTTCCCCATCTTGATTGTACGTTCTTAACCCGTCGAGTTGGTTTTCCATTTGTACAGGTTTATATATTCTTCACCTCCTCTTGGCTTTTTGTGTGCTGCTCATCCTCAACAGAAAACCTGAACTGTGTGGATGGTGTGTAGAACGTGACAATTTCTACCTTTGCTTTGTTTCTCGTGCACCAAGAGAATTCCTCTCGTTTTTTATTGCTTTGATTTCCTTCATTTTCCCTCTCTCTCTCTTTTTACTTTCCATATTGGTGCGTTTGGAAGGCAGCAAAAAAAATTCTAAGCATTTTTCAAACACACTCACTGATGGTTGAATGGGGAAAAAAGAGGGTAAAAAGAAGAAAATGAGAGAGAAGATGTGGAAAAGCAACATAAATAATAGCCTTTCAGTGGCATATAGAATGAGAACCCTCTCTTGGCCCTTCTTTTCCTCTCCTTTTTCCCTTTTCATCGTGTGTTCTTTCTGTGTGTCAGTCATTTGGGTTCCCTTTCTCTCTCGCCCCTTCGATGGTGAAGTTTTGTTGTTTGCGGTAAAATATTCAGTGACGGCGTCTCGTGGATTTCTCTCAGTCTTCATGCACTGTGCAGACGAGTCACGAAGGACGTCTGAGACGCCGCTGAGGGGGTGGAAAGAAGGTGATTTATATGCTATGGGCGGAAGAACTGAGAATCTGACCCAGACCCTCATTTGCAGAGCCAAAAGAGAGACAGAGAGAGAGAGAGAGAGAAATCCTCACGTCCTCAGCGCGACTGCGGATTATCGATCAGCTGATCTGAAAGTTGGGAATGCGACGAATTTATCCAGCAATTCAATCATCATGAGGAGTTTTGAATGTGCAGACTTTTCTGGCCAATGTGCGGTGAAAAATTTTTCACACAAAAGCCAACGCACAGTCAATGGGCAATATTTTTCATTTTCAATTAACCCCAATTATGGTGATGATTTTTATTTTATTCCTCCCAGCTGGAGGTCATGAATGAGGAGAGCGCGAGAGACTCTCCAATGAATTTTCATTGTAATAATCACACCAGTTGGTCAATGATTATACAATTGGTGGTTTAGTGATATGAAATCAGTGGGGCGAGGTTTTTTTTTCTTTCTTCTCTTGTCTCTATTTTCGACCTTTGCATAAATGCGTAAATTTATAGGCTCTCTAGACTAGAGAAGAGAATGATTTGAATTTTTGACTGAAATGTTTGAAAAATTTCTCTCTCCGTGGTTTAGTTTTACACTTTATGCTCTGATTACTTTGTCTTTGATGTTTTGAAGAGTGTGTGCTTTGTGGTCATTCACAAGGCTGATGATGAGGAGACAGAAGGAATAGGAAAAGACGCAAGAATTCCTAGAATAATTGATTATTTAACATTCTTCTTGGTTTAACTCAATAAATCCTGAATTTGTAGCAAGTTTCTTTGGCAACAAAGTTGCGTTTATGGTCATTATTTGTATATTTAGTCATATAATTAATTGTTTCTTGACATCGAGAGTTGAATGAAAATTGCGTGAAAAGCCAGAAACTTCACTTTTAAATGATGTGTAAAGGCATTACCATCTGCAATGATGGATGGACGTGGAGTTTTCGTTGCGTACATTGAATTAATTGAGTGAATCGGTTGCGATTTCTAAACACTGTTACACACAATATAAAGTTCTTTATGTGGGGAGGAAAGAAAAAAAAGAACTTCTCTGTCGATGAGACACGCATAGAGTGTATAATCATTAGCATAAAACCTTCCTTTTCAATCACTTTCCTCTCATGCTCACGTTGGAAATATGCACACGACAATAATAATGTTGTGTGCCAAAGAGAGGGAAATAAAAAGTAAATTTACATAAGGCAAAAAAATGTTATGTCCACAGAATTGAAAAGACTAAAGACTCTGTGTGAATAGGAATTAATTAGGGGCATGAAGAGGGGGAGAAATAGGCACTGATACTGATGAGTCTGGAATTTATATTTTCACTCTTTCGGGTGCTTAATGGATCTCTTTATACACAAAACGTTTTTTTCCACGCGCGCTCTTCATTCTCATGGTGTTTTGCCTTTGAGAATATCAAGAGAGCTGTTTTGTACAATATGCTGAAAAGAGTGCTAAAGGGCGTCCGCGATGATGTTGCTTGCCAGGAAATGCTGCATGATAAGACTTTTTATTTAGGGAGATATTTTTACGAAACACTTGGCAAAAATTCAACCCAATTTCATTGTGTCTGTGTTGATGATATCAAGCGTCTATTCTTTAACGAATTGTCTCTCTTGCTGTGAGGTCGCTATTCTTCTTCTTTTTTACCAGTGAAACATCGAATATATATTCCTTTTGATTGTCACCCAAGAATAACGAATAGCGTGTTGGTTAGTTGCTTTTATTTTCCTTGTAGTTTAGTTGAGACTCCATGGGATAAAATGTAATAATGAAAATTTATGGAGCACTAATTTCATTTGTATACATTGGCAAAAGTGTTGTTGAGTTTGCTTTTGACTCACACAACAAAGTTTCATGATTATATGCTCTTCTAATGGAATTGTAGCTAATCCTAATAGCTGGAAATTTCATTTACAATGGCTTTTTCTCGGGGATTTATTGGCAACAAATATTGTCTGGACTTTGATGTGTGTTTGTCTTCCTTCCATTTTGTGATCGTCTCCATGGTTATCGGTCTTTTTCTGCCTCAATTGGCATCTCTTTCGTCAAAATCAAACATCCCACAATGTCAATAGTAAATAGATCCCGAAGGATTATCTCTGTTTGGTGATGCGCGTGCGGATGCTGTGTGTATTTGTGAGGAATTTATATAAAAATTTAGCCTACAAGTTTGTTTTCGAGGGATTTTCCTGAGACTTTATCTCAAATGACACTGAGAGGATTTTCTCTTCCAGCTCTTGTTATTGAGGGGGAAAGAAATTATGGTAATAAATTGAGAGCAATGTTATTGAATTTCAGCAAATATTTCTCTCATGACATAGTTTTCGATTTTTGAAAGACAGAGAGAGAGAAAAAAACGAAAACTGGCATAAATCTTCACCTCATTCTTTTCAGTGCATAACAAACGGAATGTTCACATATTCTTATGTTTAGAAAGTGTCGAAATGATTTATGCGCTGAACTTCTAAAGTGAATCATCTCACCATGTTTTGCTCACATGTTTAGAATCTGTTCCAAATTTAATGAGTGTTTTTCCGTGGAAAAATCTTAAATCATTCACTATAAGCTTTGAATTTCATGGAGTTTGTAATTCACTTTATGTGCAAATCAAAGATTGGAAATACTAAAATAAACTGATGACATTATATGCATAATTCATCTAACAAACGATGTGCGGGAGATTGTTTATTGAATCAACATGAGACGAGCATGATGATGTTGATGCAATGTGAAACTCTGACAGTGTCAGACTTTTATGCATAAATTGTCTTGGCAAGTTTAAGGTGAGGTTGAGGAATATAATTGAATTTCTGCTGACTTTTCGAGGCCAAATTGGCGCAAAAGTTAATTTGCTGAATGAATTTAATGTGATGATAGAAGAAGTGTCGTAAAAATGGACGTGAATGGTAAAGAATTTCACCCTAAAGAAAAATCAATAATTTCACCCTCGATGAATGAAAATGGTTCTATTGAACTGTGAGAGTCTTTTCGGCCCTTTTCTAATTTTCCTGAGGATTTTTCTTCGAGTGTTTTTGGGGAAAATGAACCGCCTTTGATCCCTAAATTTTAGTTCATGGATAAATATAGAGAGAAAGAGAAATAATGATAAAGAGGAGCGGCGGCAAAAGTGCAAATCAATCAAGCAAATGGGAAGAAAATCTTTCTCAACTCTGCATGATTTTCCCTTCCAATCAATTGCTCAGCAAATAAGGCGAAGAGAAATGATGATGATTGTTGGTTGGTATGAAATTACCCTAAACGAGACAGAGAGAGAAAGAGACATTCTTTTATCGCAATTTCACGCCAAGAATTGGTGTTCTTTTCCCATCAATCAATTCCATCGGAAGAGTGTAATAATTTTTCTCGTTTGCAGATTTATCACGAAATCGCTTCTGTGAACTGCCCGAAGATGTGACATCATTCCCATTCCTGGAAACGCTGCTCGTGTACCACAATGCAATACGTTCAATACCCGAAACAGTGAAGGGATTGCGTTCACTAACATATCTAGATTTACGGTGAGTCTCAACTCGATATCTGTGAAAATTTATAGCGATTAGTCACCATCTGTGTGTTGTGTGTGTGCTTTTGCAGGAGTAATCAATTGTCTGTGCTTCCACGAGAAATATGTCTGTTGCCACTGAAAGTGCTCTTGGTGGGGAACAATCGCCTGAGTGCATTGCCAGAGGAGTTGGGACGCATGGAGAGATTGACTGAGCTCGATGCGGCCTGCAATCAAATTACACACTTGCCGGCACGCATGGGAGACCTGAGGAGTCTGCGGTCGCTGTCGCTGCGTAATAATCTGCTGGTGTATTTGCCGCGCGAGGTGACGACGCTGCAACTTGTGTCGCTGGATGTCAGTTGCAATCGCATTGCCACACTTCCGGTGGAGTTGAGGCAGATGTCGTCACTGGTGGACTTGGAGTTGGATAACAATCCGCTGACATCACCGCCGGCGAGTCTGTGCGTGCGCGGTCTGGTGCATGTGTTCAAGTATCTGGAGACGGTGGCGCTGAAGGAGGGCAGAAATATTGTGGACGGAAATGCCACACTCAGACGCTCCGCCGTGTCACAATCCATGCGTGCGTCCACGGAGCCGCGCCAGAGGCGCGCTCATGTGGATTCTGGGTACAGCACAACGAGTGATAGTGGCATTGGGAGTGAGAAGCGCTGGTCCAATGACGATAACAGTCCAAAGAGATCACCAGTGGCGCTCCATGTGAAGCCCGATGTGAATTCCCTGACCACAAGCAGCAGCAGCAATGGTGACGATGTGGGAAGTCACAAGCATGTGATTCACATTCAGGAGAAGCAACATGTGAACTCGATCGAATTATCACCAGAGGATGATGGTGCAATGGAGAATGGTGTGGGTGATAAGAAGCATCTGAGCAATGTGCAGACTTATCGGGAGTACAAGGAGGCGCTGCGACAGCAACGCAATCAGGATTCATCATCAGTGTATCGCTCCAAGGACAATACACCGACAACACCATCGCCCAATTACAACAGCAGCCAAAGTTCACCGTTGTCACCGCAGCACAGCTTCAGCAGCAAATTGATGAACAACACAAGCCAAATGATAAACCAAAATGCCGACAATAACAAGAAGCACGACGACGCACGGCGTCCCATTCAGAAGGTCACGCCGTCGCGGAATGTGAGTCAGGAGAATGGTGCGACGCAGGTGAATGGGAAGAAGTACAGCGAATGCAATTCATATGTGAAGCCCAGCAGTCCGGTGCCGGTGAGCAGCAAGGAGACGAGTCCGGTGCCGGCGAATGGCGGGAGTGGGAAGGTGAATGGGAGCATCAGGAGTGCTGTGAGTGCGGGAAAGACGACAAAGCAGAATCGTACGGTTTCATGGAATCGAGAAATACCGCCGGAGAAGTTGAGTTTCACGATGAGGCGGGAATTTGATAGGCAAAAGGAGGAATCTGAGTTGATTCAGCAACTGAGACGAGTAAGAAATATTATATTTTTCAATCACTAATGATGCATTTTTTAACATATTGTGCGTATGTGTGTTTGTATTTGAATTGTGCAGATCATTGAGACACGCCTGAAGATGACACTCCCGGATGACATTGCTCCTGCTCTCACGGATGGGGTTGTTTTGTGCCATTTAGCAAATCACGTCCGGCCCAGATCTGTGGCCAGCATTCATGTGCCATCACCGGCAGTGGTAAGTTAATGCTTTTTGGCCATTAATCAACGTCGATTGTGTGCATATTTTTGAAATTTTCCATTTTGAAATATTGATTTTGGGGGTTGGCACAATTTTGCAAAATCACGGTTTGCAGACAATCAAGAGTAAAATGTGTGGAATAATGATGAAAAAAAGGGTAATATTGAGATGATTTGTCAAATTTTCATTTTATACACTCACACTTGAGTGAAACTTGATTAATACTCGCTGGGAAAGCAATGAAAGTGTTGAATAACTTCCAAGAATTCTCGTCTCTCTTTGGTGTGACTGTGAAAAAATGAGAGTTTCGTGATGAATGACAATAGTTTAAATATGATATCTCATGGCATATAATATACGACTTATCGTAAATGTCTTATTACATTTATGCAAAGCTGTCTCATTAACGTCTTTCTTTCTTTCTTCTTCTCTTGCAGCCGAAACTGACAATGGCTCGGTGTCGTCGCAATGTGGACAACTTTCTGGAGGCGTGCAGGAAGATTGGCGTTGATGATGTGAGTAGGAGTTTGATATTATATTTCACTTAATCTCTCTCTGTTATCATCATAATGTCACTCTTGTGGTGCTCTATTTTCTGTCTGGGCGCTTCTGTCCGTGAACTCTATTCTCTGCTGCTGCTGTTGTTGTTGCTTCTGTAAAAATCAAACGAATAGACTTTCTTCTTTTACAAAATACACGTTGATCATGAGAGAATGGGATGACGTTGTATCTATAGAGAGCTGAGAATTGTAGAGAATTAATTTGTTCTTAGTTGTGTAAGAAAGATCAGTGACAAGACCTCTGCTAACTCGCCTGTTATTGGTGTTGGTTGCAGGAGTGGATATGCTCCTGTGCTGATATCGTGCCGCCCGATTGGGATGATTGCGTGGGCGACGGTGCGCCAGAGCCACCCAATCCATCTGCACTGTTTGCCACAGTGGCCGCATTGGTTGATATATTGCTGGCGCACGAGGATGGCGCTCTGCGGCAGGAGGATGATCATGCAGATGCGATGCCGGCAACCAACACCAATCAACAGCGAGACATCGAATGCTATGATGAGTACTTTAAGAGTCGCGGCATACATTTTCCCAAGAATGTCACTGAAACAGCCACGATGACGATGACGACGACGAGTGGCAGGAAGAGAAAGGTGCCGCAGAGCCTGGATCTGTTTGGTGGGAAGGTGAATCATCATCCGGCAAAGATGATGATGGGCAGACGGACATTTGCCACGGACATTTTTCCAGTCATTCGTGAGACGCTGGAGGAGTGCGAATATGATTCGGATATTGGGAAGTTCAATTGCCGCGGCGCCGAGGGCGCAATCACGACGACGATTGTTGAGGGAATAAATGACTTGAGTAGTGCAGCGTCGTGCCATGGGAAGATGAGGCTGGTGGGCAAAGCCACGCTGGATTCTGTGGAGAAGTTCAATCTCAATGAGAGCGAGGATGTCGATCGGAAGATTGTGATGAAGAGAATTGAGTTCTTCGAGGGGAAAGTGATAAATCACAAGACAGAGAACAACAATGACTGCACGATGAAGAAGACCAATCAATTGTCCACGTATCTCTGTCTGGGAACATTCTTCTGCACAATTCTCTTTCTTGTCCTGTTTCAACAGCCAAATTGATGAATCTCTCCTCAAATGTTAATACTTTTCACTGGGATTTATGAATTTTTTATCTTTCATTTCCGAGGCTATGAAATTTGTAGTGAATTTTAATTATCGCGGGAAAAGAGAAAAGTGTTTATTTGGACCATTTTTCTTGTGTGACCTTTGCAAAGCCACAGCTTAGATGTACTTACTTATGATTTAATTATGATCTGCAGTACCTTTTTATTTATACATTTAAGAGATTTTTATTATGATTTAAGAGGGGATTTTTTTTTGGTGATTAGCAAATAGAAATGTAATTTCTAGATTTTAAAGAAATCTATTATAATAATTAGATGAAGAATTTAATGTGAAGAGAAACACAAGAGAAATCATTTTATTTCTTATCAGGACTTCCAAGATTTGTTTTTACAGGCCTAAAATGAGGTTTAATTTCTCACGAATTCTTACAATGAATTTTAGAAGAGCTTCAAATGAATGTGTTAAGAAAATATAATAATTGATTAAAAGCGTTCCTAAATCGGCATTTTTTCAGACAGATTTATAGACTTGATATTGTAAAAGGATAATAATTGAGATGAAGACCGACATTGATAGATTATTTATTCAGTTTAAAAGAATTTTTTGCTTCTGTGTACTTAGAATGTGAATTATTTATATTGTACACTTAGGATTTATAATATATATATATATATATTTATCCTTATCCAAGTAACCAAGATGCTTTATATAAAATACAATGTTGAATAACAGACGATATACAGAAAGAGAGAGAGAGAAATATCAATCAAAAATGGAGAAATTCGGTTGAAAACTGGATTTTCATGACGAGAAATGCCTTACATTTCAACAAGATGGTTTTTAAGAAGGAATATTTAAGACGATAAGGCCGTGAATTTTACAACACAACACAAAATCCACTTATTTTCCTTTTCTCCACAAATGAAATGATGCAACAAATCTTGAGTGTGGGAGATGAAGAAGAGGAGGAGGAGAGAATTTAGAGGGAGAGTTTGAGGAATAGTTGTTGCGTAGTAGAGAGATAGATATATTTAAACACTAAAATGTTTTACTGTAATCAGGAAAAGAGACCATATTTGATAGGAAAATAAAAGAGGCAACTTGAAAGGCTTTCATTCTACATTTTTATTAATAATATTATTTATTTGTCAAAGTATATAGAAACTGAAGGGGAAATTTTTGAAGTAGTGAAAAAAAGAAAGATTATTCCATATTTCGCAGTATTGAAACGGGAAAATTATAATATATTCTTATTATATACAACAATTATATTATATTTATTCTTATCAGTATACATTCAAGAATCTGAAATACATAAGAAATAAATTATCTTTGGTAAAGAAAATGAAATGCTGTTGAATTCCCTGGGGGGGGGAAAAAGAAGTGTTTTTAGTGGAAGAAGTTGTATTGATTTTCCCTTTCGTTTGCCTTGCAGAATCTCCTGTGCTGCGCCACTGATGTGCTCGAGGGCAGTCGAGTTGTCCAGATTGCGATCACCGTGTCTGAATTGCTGCGCTTCGCGAACACTGGCCGCGATTCGCTGAATACCGTCAAATCACCGACGAGAGTGATTCTGCCCAAGACATCCTCATCACCAGTTCCGCCATCCACCACGTAATTTCTCACAGAATTGCTTAAGAAACATTGATAGTATTAAGACAAAGAGAGAGCGTGAGACACTTGAAATTGCGTAATTTGTAAAGTCTCGTATTGGAAAATTTTAATATTTTATAGTTTTTAAAGGACAAACACGCAAAAAAAAATTGATTCATGTCTAAATAATTGTATTGGAATTTTGTATGTTTTTTTGTATCTTGCGTTCTTCTATTTTTATGTATGTGTAATTCAACTAACACTAGAGGAAAATATTTATTTAGGAAAGTCTACGAATTGTGCAAAAGATTGCGATTCAGCAGATAAATAAGAATTTGTAGTGGAAAGGCCTAAATTATCTCAACTATTTTTCTATGAAAACACACACACAAACACAAATACATAAACCTAGAATCCTGTCCTCGAAGGAATTAGACATCGAATGTATTTAATTTCTCGTTTCCATTTAATTCACTTTATCGAATTATTTATAAGATAACTTAAGTGTAAAATGTACATTTTTAGTGCTTTTTTATTATCTCACACATGACATGAAGAAAGAGAATTGATTGACAAGAAGAAGAAGAGACGAAGAAATGCAGAACAAAAGCGAGTAAATATAAATAATGGTGCCAAAGGTCTTTTAGAACGTATAAACTTAAGAAATGCGATGAATTTGTACGGAGAAGTGAAAGCATGAGGATGATTTTTTCACCTGAAATAGAGATTTTTGTCCATGATAAGCGGTTTTTTCTAGTCAGACAAACGTATATAGAAATATTTGCTCACATTCAGTGTTAAATTGTCGTTGCGCGAGCGTAAAAAAAGTGGGTGGAAATTGATAACGAAAATCTAAATGAAAATGGACTTTGAAAATTAAATGGAACAAAAATTATATTAAAGAAAAAAAAACCTTATATACATATTTCATGTGATTCAATGCACAAGAGTAATTAATTGAAAAGAATGGCGAACAGGCAAAAGAAAAAATAGAGTCTGCATTAGAATTGTAGGTAAATTCAAGTACTTTGTAATGTGATTGAAAGAAAGAAGAAAAAAAGGATAAATTGTAGGAAAGTGACGACACTCATGTATTTCGTGTTTTTCTAATCCATAAACAATAAAATGAAATGTTCTCGAGAAGCTCGAGGAGAAGGAAATGAATGAAAATGATAGCGTCTAATTGTGTAACAGGAATAATTATGGAAATATTAAACTTACCTCTTTTCAATCATTTCGTGGTTTTCCTGGCAATGAAAAGGAAATCCTTGTGATTTTTAGACGAGATTCAAATTGCGCGCCCGGATTGACAGCACGACCGCAGCGCCGCCTGGCTGGCATGCCAGCACAGAGGTAATCAAAATACTTTTGAAGGGTGGAGAAAAAGAGGAAATATTTTGGTGTCACTTGAGTTCCGCTTTGTGCAATGAAAATCTCCGTGGCGACGTAAAATCAGTGCCCCAGAGACGATGATGGAGTGCAACGAGGCGGTGGAGCGCCAGAAGCTGGTGTCGAACGACGCAGAGACGGATGACGTGCCGAGCAGCGCCCCGAAGTCCTCCATCCAGACGCCCATCTCGCCCGTGCTGAGCAGCAAGGTCTTCTCCAGCGGCGACACGAGTCGCAGCCAGAACTCCACGACGTGCTCCGTGGGCAAGGGCCACCCGGAGGCCGGCCAGCAGGCCACCAAGCTCACCTTCGTCAACGAGCGGAAGCTGGAGGCAATCGCCAAGGCGAAGGCGAAGAAAATCCACCGAGGTATTCCGCCCCGTGCGCGCTCGCGCCCCATTTCACACGCTTCATTTTATCGTTTATTTCTTTGCATTTTATTTGGATTTATTTGTGATTCCTCTTTTATTTATTTTATGGCATCCACACACACCCTTTTTGGTTTGGTTTCTCTGGCGCGCGCCTTTTCCGTAGATCTTCCGTCACCCAAAACTGTCCAGGCGCCAACACATCCAGTCCATAGTTCAAACTTTTCCTTTGCCGATCGCCCTCTGAAGCACCATTCATTTATCTCAGATGACGGCAGTGTCCGGAACATGGAGAGGGCCCTGCTCGGCCTCCTCGAGGACTTTCACTCCGGCAAGCTGAGGGCATTCGGTGAGTCACGCGAAGAGCGTCGGAGGCGGAGTAACACAGAAGCCACTCTCATTCGCAGGCTCGGGCTGCACAATGGAGCAAATGACTGACATTCGGGAGCAACAGGAACGCCTGGCGAAGCTGCACTTCGAGCTGGGCGGCGGCGATGCCAGCGAGGACGCCCAGGCGGAGCACGGCGCGCAGAAGATGTCGCAGCTGGTGATGAAGCTGGAGAACTTGTCTGTGTCCATCGAGAAGCTCCACTCGAGCAACTCGGACTTGTGATATTTGCCTTGGAGGCTCGTCTCCAAATAAAAGACACTCACACAATTTTATGCCTCGACTTTTTATTTCATTACCATTTTATACAAATCTCTTCTAAATCAAGCGGATTTTCTGCCTCTTTTTTTCTTCTTCTTCTTCTGGGTTAATTGTTGTAAAATCATAAAATGTGTTACATTGACGCCCAACTTTGCAGCGCTATTTATTCTTCAATAGTTTTTCACTCTCTGTGTGGATTAAGAGTGGATTTGGAGATTGTCTCGTGGGAGGATTTAAAGACTCTCAAAAGACTAAATTGACACAGAAGGAAAAAAAATGCTACAATTTTCGTTGATTTCCGTTTCACTCGCACAGAATTCTCCCCTTCAGATTATATTAAATGACTAGAATTGTGGGGCGCGCGCGCTTCTAAATAATCTCTCTCTCTCTCTCTTTCTCTTATCATAACACAAATTGAAATTGAGATAATAACGCCTCCAAACAATCTCCAAATCAACTCTGGGTAGGATAATTTTACTCCAGATGATCATCATTGTCGTTTTTTTCTACAGTAAAAAACATCTAACACACAATGACAGCAAATGTATCCCTATTTCTTCACGTCCTTTTTTTATCTCTCTTTCACAATTCAATAGCAATAAATATGTTAAGATGATATTAATGGTTTTCTCGCAATGACTATTACATCTCTTCTGAGTATATTTAGCAATTCTCTTCGTCTATTTTAGTTATTCCGCAAAATCATTCATCAAAGAAAATAAAAAAACCATCATTAATCGCTCTCTGAAGATCAAAACTATAAATGCACAATTTTTTTTTAGTCATATTTTCGTTGAGTTTCTCTATTCTCATAAATGTGATAAAAATATGATAAATTTACAAACTTGTCCAGACATTTTTTCAAAATAAAATATTCACAATTTTTCTCAAACAGCAACATAAAAAAATTCAAGAAATTCTCATAGCTTTTGCTTTTTCCATTTACAATTGTTGATTAAATATTATCATGTGGAAATATTTACGGTGATTTTTACTTTTACTGATTTTTTTTTGGATTAGGATGTCTCTGAATATCAATTATAAATCTAAGGACTTTTATATTGACAGTATTGACACGATGGATGAGGCAAAGTGACTATTATAAACCATAGAATATTCTTGAGTGTCATTGAATAAAATATTAGTGAAATTTCCAACAATTTGTCAGGAAATCAATAAGGTCAAATATTTTAAATTGAAACTCCGCTTTAATGGTGGGTCAAAGACACTCAATATCAACTTTCATACACTCAAAACATTTACAACACAAAATTGCCTAAAATATACGACTTTGTGCATTATTACTGGAATTTTAAGTTATAAGATGGAAATACACAAATTTACATCAACGAAAAATATAGGAAAAGAACGGAAAATATCGATGTATTAAAGAGAACATAAAACACTTTATCACTTGACATCTTAATATTGAATTCTCACGCACTTTTTTCCATATGTAAAACCCGAGAATCGTGAGAAAGATCAATTTAATCGCGAAAGCATTAAATGTTCTGTCTTATGCGAGAATTAATTGTGCGCTTGTGTTATTATGAATGAAATTCGAGTAAAATTGCCTCATCCACGCAGTCAAACTCTAAAATATCTCTCTTTTCTTCTCCTTTTTTCTTGGTAAAATGGAAGATAATATGTGTGTGTGTGTGAGTGAGTTGGTTTGCAATTATAACTAGAATTTATGCGATTTCTCATCATTTACAAAGGATTTTCTTACTCTCTCTTTCTTTGATGCCTTCTCACACCGATTAATATGTTGTTGTTGGTTGATAAAATTTAGTTTTTTTCATCATTAAACATATCTTATATCGCCTCTCATTAAATTGTTATTACTTTACGCGTGTGTAAATATCTTTTTTTTTTATATAAAAAATGTCTTTTTACGTAAAATTATGTATAAACTTCTCATCATTCCTCGCTATCATGCTCGTTTTTTTTTCCTTCTTCTTTAAATTCTACACTCATACGATTATCCTATATTTATATATATTTCTTGTACTCTCCAATTCACTTCAAGAAAAAAAAACCATGAGAGCACACACATCAAGTGCCAGGGAAAATAATGAATGGCAAGAGAATCATTTTTATATGGAATTGCAAGCAGTCTGAATGTCTGAAGATTTCCGATGACATAAAATCTTGTGAAAAAATGGTTTAAATAATTATTATTATGATTAGAAGTGCTATTTGATTACCTGCGCTCATTGTTTTATTATTAACTCTCCGCCCTTTAAAAGGCTAATAATAATAATAAAAATATAATACAATAATTAACTATTGATGTGAATGGAATTATGCGAAATATATATTTATTCTGTTTTTCCCTTCCAAACGCCATTCTTCATTTCTTCTCCTCAACTGTGTGCCTTTTTTCTCTTCTCTTCTCTTCTTCAATTGAATTGAAGACTCTCTTCTTCTCCCTCCATCGACGTTGTTAATCAAGAAAGAAAAATCTCTCCCTCTTCCGCCCCCCTTTTCAATATCAGTTTAGATTCTCTCATTGTATGAAAAATCCTAATGTTTTCAATTTATGTTTTAATCTAGTAGTTGATTTTTTGTGTTTGTGTGTGTTTTTCTATGTGTATTTTTTGTATCTTGTGTTAATATTTCTTTTTTTTAATACGAAAAATGTTCTCCTTCATCATCTTCTTACTTCCCCTTCACTAAATTAGCAAATATTATTAATTTACTCTCCATCAATCTTCATTCATTAATATAAATTAAGTTAATTATATTGTGTATAATTGTAAAAAAAATAATCAATAAATCTACGCTTATGTGCCATTCGCCTTCGGAAGTGGTCGCACTAGATACAATTTCTCACCTTGCTTATTAGTATAAATGGGTGCTCTTTGGTAGTGATCGACTAACTGATCCAAATTGTGGAACTTGCGCTGGCCAATGCAATACATATTCCCCTCCACGTGCACGCGAAAGTGCTTGTTGCGTCCCGGGGCTTTAAGGCTCACTGAATAGTCTCCCATCTGCAAAAGTCAAAAATCAAACACAGAAAATTAGTCACAAAGAAGATAAGAAAACATTCTCCTTCTCACATTTGTCTCACTGTCGCGAATGAGGAAATCGCCATCGTGTCCGTGTTGATTCAACACAGTATCACACTGATTGCGCGTTATGGCCCCATAATACCAACTCTTGCCCGCCAAATTGGGGCGCTCCAGCGGCTGCTGTCCCACACCCGGGCCCTGATCCTTGCGCCGATCCACGGATCCATTGTCAGATCCCACGCCACCCACTTGTCCGCCACGGAAAGGTCCCGACAAGTACTCCGTCAGCTCCTGCAGATAGTTGCGCGGCACCAGACCAATCTGACCAGCATTGTTCCTGGCCTTGTACCTGTGTGGAAAATAAGGAAAACATGTACGCTCAACTCATATGAAGAAGTCCAACAAGAACTTACCATTCTGGATCTGAAACAGGTCTATCAATAATTTCGAGTCTGTCACCCTTCTCGAAGGACAATTCCTGGTCATTGTTGGATTTGAAAGAGTAGAGAGCAACCTGCAGTATATGGAAGAGATCTCAATAAAGAAATCATGCCACATTTCAAGTCTCAAATGCTCACCACAATGTCAAGAACATTTTCCGCCATGGCATAAGTGTGCAATGTGTCATCGTTGTTATCAATCTCCTCTGTGGTGTAATTGCTGGGAAACCATCCCACACAGTTGCCACTCTGTCCTCGCCACCAGCCATCATTGGACTTCTCAAGGATGAGGATTCGTGTGCCCTTCGTCAATGACAACTCATCATTCTGCACTTTCTGATAATTGTATTTCACAATGGCCGTTCCGATGGCCTCAGACGGATCCACTGGCAATCGACGCGCCATCGTCGGGCTGTCTGTCTGTCGCGATGGCGAACAATTGGGGAGGGTCTTGGAGCCGGAGCCCTTCTTCACTTTCTTCTTAATGCTGCAAAGACCACAACAAATGAACGAAAGAAGTGCACTTTAGCCATCGACAAGACAAGTAAATAAACAGTGAAAGTGAATTAGGAGTAGGAGTTAAAATTTGCACTCGTTTTTCTCTTCTTCTCCCTCTCAAACATTGAACACAAAAAATCATTAACCATCAACTCTCTTTTCTCCCATTCAAATTGCACTGGTGATGATCACACTAATTAAGACATGTTTCTCACTGAACAAGAGTTAAATTTCATCTCTGAGTGCATCATAAATGTGATGATAAAATAAATCTCACCTATCAAATAATGACGGTTTCTCCTTCTTCACATAATTACTGGGCACATATCCGGATTGATTGCGACTGTTCTGGACACGCCACCAATGTTTTGAGTCATCCAACAGCATATATCGCTCATTCTTCCTCAAATCCAACTCTTGAGCGCCCTGCGCCGCATAATCATACTTCGCCACGACGTAGCAAACGTCCTCCTGAGACTTTCCTGCACACAGAGACAACAAGAGGAGCAACACAGTGCTCAATTATTAAACATCATGGAGAGAATGACAATATCCTGCTTACCATGCTTCAAATTGCCCGCCATTGATTGATAAATTATCCTTTTTTCTCTCTCTCTCTTTTCACCCTGTGTCCAGCTGTTGTTTATCCCTTCTCACATAAATTATTCAGTCGCCAATTGAATCTTCCGCGTTGCAATAATCTCTATCTATTGTGAATATTCACTCGCTGTGGTTGTTGTTTCTCTGCAATCACCACAATTATCATTTGCCGGTGGTTTTGAGACTCTCTCACTCCTCCAATTGACACCACAGTGTTGTGAAAGGGTTAATCCTCATTGTATATTTTCCTTGTCGTTCTGCTTCTCTATAATATCTGCGTCTAATTGGAGATTCAGCTGAAGTGCAAGGCGTGGAAAGAAAAAGAAGAAGCAAAAAGACTTTATGTGAGATGAAAGAGCATCAATTTCTGTGTCACACAGAAAGATCAAGCAATAAATTGCACAGAAAAATTTGGATTTCTCACTCAAATGTCGACACACACAATGTGAGAAAAATATCGCAATTGTTGTGAAGAAAAGTCTCATGCAACAATTTCCACACAAACAGTCAAACTATATCTTCAGAAGTCACTTAAAGCTCGTCAAATTATTTAATTGTTGCCATTATTCTGTTATTCAACAAAAACATTCAACCCCGCGTCTTACGCAAAGGAAATGGCAATATTTTCCCAATTCTGCACTTTATGTCAGCTTTAATCACCAAATTATGTGTTATAAAATGTTAAGCGAGTGACCCAAAATAAACATTGCGCAAAGACATCATTTTGCCTCTTCCTCCCCGCGAAATAAAAGCCAAACGTTATCGGAAAAATTATGTGGAGTAGTTTTGAGGTCAAGATTGTGTGCTTTTCTTCTTCTTCGGTGAACACTTTTTGCCCGATATTCACGATAAAATTAGACTTTATGTTGGAGAGGTCAAGATTCCCTCGATAAGCTTCGTTTTCTCACACAAATTATTCGCGCAAACACACAATTTTCAATGTGGCTATTTTAGCACACGAAGAGGAATGGAGAATGACGTCTCTTTCTCCCCACATTTATCAGTCTGTGAACTGATTTGGGAGCCAAGCGACGGACAAGTATTAATTTACCCACTTAAATTAGTGCGATAGGAAGAAATTAAGAGAAGATTTGCAAGAAAATATTCAATGCTTCAGCATTAAAAAAAAAACTTGTTGCCTCAAAATATTTACTTCTTGATCATGAGCGCTTCCGGCATTAAACATAATTCCCCAATAAATGTTCAACTCTTTTAGTCAATAAATCGCTCTCAACGCCGGGAAAAAAGAGCGCAAGTTGAAGCTTATTTGTTTTTGAAATGGAACCTAAATCTCGAGTATGTGACTCACATTGGACAAACAACACCCAATTTCTCTCCAACTTCTTGCAAGACGGTGGAAATTTGATCATTACTTATTCGCAGAAACCGTGCAGTTTTGCTATGATCATCTTGATATCTCTCACATAGCAATTAATTAGGAGTAATGAAAATCTTTTCTTTTTCTCTTTCTCCTCTAGAAGACTCTGTGTGGCAGAAAAGTGTAAAAATACACCCAGAAAACATCTGCCGGAAGACATGGAAGACACGGAGAGTCTCAGTGGGGTGGAATTTCTTGTGGGAAAACGAGAGCAGAATTCCAGTGTCTCTTGTGGTCAATCAGGAGAGCATTTTCCCGAGAGGTGGGAAAAAGAGAAAGCAACGGGAGACCTTCGTCTGTGGCCACAGCAGAGGCCCCCACTTCAGCTCAACCTCTGAGAGTCTGGCTTAATTTATTCCGCAATCGCCGTCTCCGAAGGCGCGTCTGCACGGTGACAAATTTATAAATAAATCATTCAACATTGGGCCACGACATCATAACGATGAGCGCAATATTTTGCGGATAAATTATGTCTTCCGACGGCCGCGAGCGCCGCCTCCGGAAAGCCGCTCGGCGACGCAAACGCGAGCGCCCCAAGTAGCGTATATGCGGAGCTCCACGTAAGACGCGCCCGGACGTCGCGAGTGAGGGTGTTTCTATCGCACCAGAGCGAACCTGCAGCCCCGAGAGTGATGTGCAACATCCGCAATTACACAATGGCTCTCGAGCTGCAACTCTCACACTCCAACTCTCTTGTGTCGGGACGAAAGGGATGAGGCACAGCCGCCCCAGCCCCTAATCGACATCCCGCACTTTGCACCACCTTTTGCCCCCTTTCGCACTTACTTTTCCCAGTTATTCCACTTGCACGGCCTGCACCACGCACTCGGCCACGAGTTTCACGCACTTTTCCTCACTTTTTGTTTATATTTCCCATATAAAAACTGCGAATCGCTTCATACAAATTTCACAGCCGCAAAAACTATTCTTCACGCACACTTCTGTTGTCAGCCGTCGTGGCGCTGACCGCGCTCTGCTAGAATTTCCCCACTTTCAGTATAACACCATGGGTGGCGCTAGTTGTGCGGTGTTTTTTTGGCTGTAGAACAGTGAGGGAGGTTCGCTTTCTCCAGTCGATTTTCATGAAAATTCATGAGAAATTGACGAGTGATGGTGGTTTTAGTGATTTAACTGTACTCTTTGTGAGCTCAATTACTCACTTTTGCAAAAAGTAGTGGTGAAATCCCGCCACGATGGCCTCAATGCAGAGGGCTTTCGCCCAGAAACTCTCCAAGTAAGCACAGCTCTGTTGACATCTTGTCCATCATTTTTCTCTATTTTCCTCACAAAAAACCACACTTTCTTCGTCTCCACCCACAGATATCACGCCTCCGATGTGCGAAAGAATGTCGCCACTCACCAGATATCCAATAAGAGTGATACCAGCTCGGTGTGTTCGTCATCGATAAATGTAAACAAAACCAGTGGAGTGAGTCAGGCAAATTTGTGAGTAACTTCCGGATTTTCCCTTGCAGATCTCAATAAATGATCTGGTGGAGCCCATTGACTACGAGGACTTCCTCATGCAGCACCACAGTCTGTTGTGCAGAGATCCTCTGCGTGGGATTTTGGATTTCCCGCCGCAGGATCTCAAGATCAAGATCATCGAGCGGAAGCTCAGGACACTGGAGCATGTTGTGCCCAAAGAGCCGATTGAGACGCTTCCGCTGTATGTGCAGCAGTGCGTGGACAGCTTCACGAGGCCTTGGAAGGTGGTGGAATTCGCCCATCGACACTTTTCCAGCTCGTGCTGCGTGCGTGAGCGTCTGGACAAGGGCGCTCTGAGTCCCATGTCGCAGCAGGAGTTCGAAATAGACAAGGACTTTGTCTCATTTGACGACACACTGACGTACAGGGTAAGAAAAGACGCATTATCAATGCCATTTTGGGATTGATTCATTTGCTTTTGTGATGTTCCAGAGCGATAGTTGCACGCCAAGCAGTCGCCAGTCCATCGCCAGTCTCTCTTCTGTGTCCACCTGCACGGACACACTCACGCCGAGAAGCTCCTGGGCGAGCTTCGATCTCAGGAGTTCGGTGAATGATCCTCTGATTCCTGGTCTTCTGGACAGAATAGCGCCTGAGACGATTGATCAGGCGAATGAGAATCGACGCAGCGACGAGCGTCACGATGCACTCTTCAGTCTCTATCCGGATTCTGACAATGAGGACTCTGTGGAGCGTCGCTTGTCGGCAGAGATTCCCATTGAGCATCTGGGAAATCGATTCATTGTGAAGTGTCTTCAGTTGAAATTGGAATTGGAAGTGGAGCCGATTTTTGCCTCAATGGCAATCTATGATGCCAAGGAGAAGAAAAAGCTGTCGGAGAATTTCTACTTCGACATGAATTCCGAATCACTGAAGCGCATGCTGGCCTCTCATGTGCCCTACAGTGATATCAGCTCACAGAGCAGAACTGCAGTGTTTGAAGTGACAAATCCCAGCAGTGATCTCTTCCTGGTCATTCGCCTCGAGAAGGTTCTGCAGGGTGACATTAAGGATTCGGTGGAGCCTTATCTGAAGGAGGACAAGGATAAGTATCGTGACAAGGCCAAGTCAAATGCGGCTGATTTCTGTGAGAGACTCGGAAAGTATCGAATGCCATTCGCCTGGACGGGAATCTACTTGACCAACATATTCAACGGTGAGAATGTGGAAAAGGATGAGAGAGATGGCATGACAACGGCTTCGAGTTCCAATAGTTTGGACAGGAAGTCCTCGACGAGTAGCTTTGATCAGCTGCGCAAGCGGGCGAGTGACATGGGAACGCTGACAAGGCGTGGATCGCTGGAGAGGCGCCAGGAGAAGAGGAGATCTTGGTCACCAGATGACTTTGCCAACAGTATTGAGACTTTCCGTCCCATCGCCATCACCGTGTCGAGTTTCTTCAAACAAGAGAGTGACAAGATGAAGGATGAGGATCTCTTCAAGTTTCTCCCTGAACTCAAGCGACCAGGAGCTGTGACGAAGAAGTATAAGTGCATTCCGGGATCAATAAAACTCGAAATTTCTCCCTGTCCGGAGGAGGTGAAGTGCGCTCTTACGCCAGAATTGGCCAAATTGGATCCCTATCCGGACGAGAAGACGCGTCCGATAAAGGAAATTCTGGAATATCCTGCACTTCCCATTATGCAACCGCATTACTTCTACCGGAATCTCTTGTTCATCAACTGCAAAGAGTTGAACTTTGCCGCTCGCGCCGGATCTGCTCGCAATATCGCCGTGAGGGTTCAATTGATGGCTGGTGAGAAGCAATCGGATGCCTTGATGGCTATTTTTGCGAAGAGTTCATGTCCAGAATACACTTCAGAGGCTTACACAGCTGTGAATTATCACAATAAGTGTCCATCGTTCTATGATGAGATCAAAATAACACTGCCGGCGAATGTGAAGCAGAATCATCATCTTCTCTTCACTGTCTATCACGTCTCGTGCCAGAAGAAGCCACAAGAAGTGCAGACGACTGTGGAATCGCCCATTGGCTACACTTGGATCCCCATTCTGCAGGATGGGAAGCTGAGCGTTGGCGAATTCAATCTGCCCGTGATGGTGGAGGAACCGCCAGAGAACTATTCCTTCATTCCTCCTGATGTTCAGCTGCCGGGCACCAAATGGCTGGATAATCATCGTCCAGTCTTCTCACTCACAATCGACGCTGTGACTTCGGTTCACACATTGAATCCTTTCCTGGATAAATTCATCACACTGTGCGAATATTTGGAGACGAGAAAAGTCCCTCCGCGAATTGGTGAGGGAAATATGGAGAAGGAGATGAAGAAGGCTCTTCTGGATATTCAACAGTCTGACATTGAGCCACTGGTGAAGCATTTGCCAGTGATAATGGACAAATTGTTGGAACTTCTCGTGACCACGTACAAAGTGAGTGGACAAGTGCTCTCTCTGGCGCCAACTGTCTTCGAGACGCTGATCTCGATATCGCAGAAACTCACGGTGCTGCAGGATGAAGTGTCACTTGACAACTACGGAAGACATCCACTGTTAAGCACTTATATTCAGTATCAGGCATTCATTCCGCATCCCATGAATGCCAAGATGCGCATGACATCGAGCAGGAGTGGTGAGGGATTCAATAAGAGCAGCAGCATTCCCGATTTGCACGTGCCCAGTGAGCTGTCCAGTCGCAGTCTCGACAGATCGCTCTTGACCAAGACGGAGTCCAAGGACATCTCGCCGTCAGACGTGACTGGACGCGATGGACAGGTGAGAATCCTGCACGAAGAGTTGGCCTTCCGCTGGGTGGTGTCCAGCGGCAGTGCCTCCGATCTGGCCATGAATAACTCCTGGATGCTCTTCGAGTTGATGATAAAGTGCATGATTGAGCATCTAGACACGATGAATCTCCTGGATTCGCCGCGAAAGAGTCGCTTTCCGCATCAATACACCGACGATCTCTCGACTCTTGTGCACTTGGTCACGACCAAAGTCATCGGCTTTCACTGCAGTGAATCCAAATTTGCACAGGCACTCAACTCGAGTCTGGCTTTCTTCATCTTCGATCTGCTGAACATCATGGACAGAGGCTTTGTGTTTGGCCTGATCAAGACTTACTACAAAGTCATGACGTCCAAACTCACTTCAACACCGGATTTGATTCACTACAAGTTGGATTTCCTGCGCATTGTCTGCAGTCATGAACATTTTGTGGCTCTGAATTTGCCTTTTGCCACTCCTTACACAACACTGTCGGCGCCTTGCAGTCCAACGCCCAGCATAACGTCCAACAACAGTCAGAATTCCTACGTGAGCGCAGTTCATGGCCTGGACAAGACTCTCTATGCTGAATTGAGTCATGATTTCAGACAGCAACACTTCTTGATTGGTCTCGTGTTGACCGAATTGGCGGCTGTGCTGGAGATTTCCAATCCTTCTCTCCACGGAAAAGCCATCAGATGCATCAGGAATTTGATGACATGTCATGATCTGGACAGCAGATATGCTGAGCCAAATGCCAAAGCTCGCGTGGCAGCTCTCTATCTTCCTCTGCTGGGCATTGTCATGGACACAATTCCCCAGTTGCATCAGTATTTGCCAGAGAGTCACGATCGTCTGCAGAATATTGGCATTCTGGATGACTATCAAGGCCCACACAATATGACTGCACGCGCCACAATTCACCCAGAAGTCGCCTATGCCATCTCCGGCAGTCGCATGTACTCCTTCTCGCCAGATCCCATCAAGAACAAGTCGCCGCTGAGCATTGAGAACACAAGACACCTGCTCTCGTGCTTCCTGTGGATCCTGAAGAATCTCGAGCGCGATGTGCTGTTCATCTGGACACTGGGATTGGCGCCACATCGACTGCATCAAGTGCTGCAAGTTCTCAACACATGTGTTCCCTGCTTTGAGTACAAAGGTCACAGGCGACAGCCGGTGAAGAGGAACACACAGAGCTTCCGGAAGACGCCAGACATCAAGGAGAGACTTGAGGAGTGCATCAGAGGAACGGGTTCAGCACGAAATGACTTTATGAATAGACGAAAGGATCGCAATTCCACGGAGATCTTTCGCTGGCGCAAGGATCAAATGCCCTACAGATCCCAATTCTACGACGTCAGCACGAAGACTGAGTGCGAAATGGAGGTGCACTACTCAATTGAGGGCTCTCTGGCGACAGAAGTGGTGCTGGTGGTGCTGGACACGCTGGAATTGATTGTCCAAGTGGCGACATCATCAGAGATTCATCACAATTTGTTAGGTGTTGTGCTGAAAGTTCTCCTGCACGCTCTGTCGCGGAATCAGAGCACTTTGGCACTGCAGAATCTCTTTGCCTCACAGAGATCACTCATCTTCAAATTCCACAATTTGCTCTTTGACGAGGAGACGGACAGTTGTGCTGATCTCTGTCTGCTGTTGCTGAAGCATTGTGGTTCGCAGTTGCCGAATGTTCGCTCACAAGCCGCGGCGTCACTTTATCTTCTGATGAGACAGAATTTTGAAATAGGAAATGTGAGTTACTTTTGTGTGGTCTTTTTTTCTGAAGGAATTTTGAAATAATTGTGAATTTCTCTTTGTTTTCTTGGACAGAATTTCGCTCGTGTGAAGATGCAAGTGACAATGTCACTGAGTTCTCTGGTGGGAACCAGTTCGGCTTTCAGTGAACAATCACTGAGGAGGGCATTGAAGACCATTCTTGTGTATGCAGAAACTGATGCGGAATTGCAGGAGACTTCATTCCCTGAACAAGTGCAAGATTTACTCTTCAATCTCCACATGATCCTCTCAGACACCGTGAAAATGAAGGAATATCAGGAGGATCCTGAGATGTTGCTGGATTTGATGCATCGCATTGCCAAAGGGTATCAAAATTCACCGGATTTGCGATTGACGTGGTTGGAGAATATGGCAAAGAAGCACATGGAGAGGGCAAATCACACAGAAGCTGCCATGTGTTATGTCCACAGTGCTGCCCTCGTGGCTGAGTATCTCAGCATGTTGGAGAGTCAGAAGCATTTGCCAGTTGGCGCTGTGTCTTTCAAGCACATCTCGCCAAACACACTGATGGAATCCGCTGTGTCGGATGATGTGCTGAATCCGGGTGAGGATGGTATTTGTCTGGGCAATAGATTCACCGAGAGTGGCTTGAAGGCACTGCTTGAGGAGGCGGCAAATTCATTTCAAATCGCTGGAATGTACGAGGCAATGAATGATGTCTACAAAGTGTTGATTCCAATCTGTGAGAACAATTGTGACTTCCAGAAGTTGGGCAAAATCCACGGGAAACTCCAGGAGGCATTCAATCGCATTGCCCAATTGCATGGCAAGAGAGTGTTCGGGACGTACTTCCGGGTGGGATTCTATGGGGCGAAATTTGGTGATTTGGATCAACAGGAGTTTATCTACAAAGAGCCAACTTTAACTAAATTGCCAGAGATTTTCAGTCGTCTGCAGAATTTCTACTCTGATCGCTTTGGTCCGGATTGTGTGGAGATTATCAAGGATTCAAACAATGTGGATGTTAATATGCTGGATCCGGAGAAGGCATACATTCAGATAACATATGTGGAGCCTTATTTTGAAACTTACGAGCTTCGTCATCGTGAGACACACTTTGAGAGGAACTTCAACATCAAGAGGTTCATCTTTGCCACGCCTTTCACAAAGACAGGGAAAGCTCATGGAGATCTGCATGAGCAGTGCAAGAGGAAGACAATTCTCTCCACAGCCAATCACTTTCCGTACGTGAAGACGCGCATTCAGGTGGTGAGCAGGGCGCAAATTGTGCTGGAGCCCATTGAAGTGGCCATTGAGGATATACAGAAGAAGACGGTGGAACTTGCAGCGGCGACAAATCAAGAGCCTGCGGATCCCAAGATTCTGCAGATGGTGCTGCAGGGATGCATTGGGACGACAGTGAATCAGGGCCCGATGGAGATGGCGCTTGTCTTCCTCTCGGGACTGTCAGATGGTTCGACAGTGCCGTCGAGGCATCAGAACAAGCTCAGGCTGTGCTTCAAGGACTTCTCCAAGAAGTGCCACGACGCCCTCAAGAAGAACAAGAATCTCATTCTGCCCGATCAGAAGGACTACCAGAAAGAGCTGGAGAGGAATTATCAGAGATTCACTGAGCGATTGGCGCCACTGATTACAATCAGTCCAACTCAAGCGGCTGCTGTTATCAAGTAACTTTTTATTTTTGAATTTTGTTTTCCACTTCCTAAGTTTTTTATCACACAATTTTTCTTTTCCTTTTTTTCCGTGGTTCATTTAGTTCGGGAAATTCTGGCAAATCAACGCCTCTGAGATGGTAAATTTCTCATTTCACCGTTCAACGATCTGGATTTAGAGAGCAATATTCGTAGATTTACTCCATTTTTTACTCTGTGTTTCGATAGTTTATCACTCTATATAAAAGATAAAACTAGTATTGATAGTGCTATGCAACTCTGTAGAGAATTTACTCAATTTTATGCAATAGGAAGAATACTTTTAACCCAGTTTCAATGTCTCTGAAGTCTTTCACAATTAACAGCATTAGTATTCCAAATAATAAATAAACACACAATATTCCGTTGCATGGCGCTAATGAATTCGAGTGTATTTGCAATTTGTCTTAAGAAGAATTACTGCTAAATCGTAAATTTATACCAAAAATATCAATATTTTATAATGCATTTTCAATTTCAACTAGAAAAACTAGTGCTTTTTATCAATAAAATATACACGTGAAGAATAAAACACCTCTTTTATTATTGATTGCTTCGGTTTCCCGGCAACACTTTCCCAACAAACAACAACGTGCCGTGGAAGTGAGCCTGGAATCATGAAGTTCAAGACGTATTTCTCCAAAGAGGGTGGTTTGAAGCTCGGCGTGGTGTCTTGTGTGGACTGGTCAGGAGCTGAGGACATCTACTCTTGCTCTGGAGATCACAATTTGCTGAAATGGGCGGCAAACAGTCGCGAAAGTGTTCAAGTGGCAACATTGCCTGAAGACTTTCATCCCACGGATCTGCATTTGCTGGTACTAAAGTCAAGTGTCGGCGCAAAGGGCGGAGATTCCCTGCTCATCGCTAGCAATGACGGGCGATTTGTCATCCTGAACAAGAGTGCGAGGCTGGAGAGGAGCATTTCCGCCCACTCTGGTGCCATCACGGCGGCCAGATGGAGTCCGGACGGCGCGGGATTGCTTACAGCTGGCGAAGATGGTGTGGTGAAGATCTGGTCGAGGACGGGAATGTTGCGGTCGACTGTGATTCAGAATGAGGGCCCCATTCGGTGTGCCAAGTGGTCGCCAAACTCCTCGGCAATCGTGTATTCTCAGGGCAGTTCGATGGCCATCAAACCGCTGGCTGCGAACAGCAAAGTGATCAAGTGGAAGGCGCACGATGGCTTGGTTCTCTGCCTCGCCTGGGCCAATCACACGAATCTCATCGCTTCTGGCGGTGAAGATTGCAGGTACAAAGTGTGGGACAGTCAGGGATCGAATCTCTATACCAGTTCACCAGATGAACATCCCATCACGTCCATTGACATTCGTCCGGAAGGAGATCTCTTGGCTGTTGGCGGATTCAACATGCTGAAACTCTGCCACTACACAGGAGTGAGTTGTCCTCAGACAACTGTGATCATCATTCTCTCATCCCACCTTTTATCTTCCAGTGGAGCCACAGCACTTGTCGCTTCCCGCAGACAGTCGGATCTCTCTACACGCTCAGCTGGTCTCCTGACGGCACTCAAATTGTCGCCGGCTGCGGGAACGGCGCCCTGATATTCGGTCACATTGTGGATCGCCAAGTGATCTGTCGCAACCTCAAAGCCACCACCGTTGGACGCAAGACGATCGTCCTGCAGGACATCGTGACCAAGACGAGTGACACGCTCGAGTTCTCTGACAGAGTGATCAAGATGACGCTGGGCTACGGACATTTGCTCGTGACGACGCCCAATCAGCTCCACATCTTCAACGAGAACTACATCAACACGCCCGTGATCGTGGACGGGCGCACGGACGTGCACATCCTCTCACTGGGCGTGAAGAACTTCGTCGCCGTGGACTCATCGTCCATCTGGATCTACACGTACACTGGACGTCTGCACTTGACGCCCAAATTCCCCGGATCCTCCGCCCAGATGGCAAATCTCACGGAGAAGTGCATCTCCTTGGGCGTGGACACGCTGGTCGTGCGTGATTTCGCAGATCATACCGTCATCTACGTCTTTGACTTGCTGCCCGGCGCCACACGGCAGGACGAAGCGTCCGTCATTCGCAGCAAGACGCCCGTGACGCAAATCAGCGTCTGCAGAGCGGGCGGCACAGACAGTCAGTACGTCGTGTTCATAGACATCCATCGAGATCTGTACGTGAGCAATCTGCGCAGCGGCCCAGACTTTCCCATCTTCAAGATCGGCACTCAGGTGATCTCTGTGATGTGGGGCAGCGATTCCAACATCCTCGTCGGCCTGCACGACGCTTGCTACACCGTTTGGTACTGCCCTGGCGAAGCGTGCGCCGATCCCACTCTCATCGGACTCACGACGCTCACGTACGACTCCACGGAGTTCGGTCGGAATGTGTCTCTGGAGTCATTCGAGGGATGTCAGATTGGGCTGCGCAGTTCAGGCGCTCTCTTCACGGTGCCCGTGAAGATCTACTGCAATCTGCTGCACAAGTTCGTGCAGGACGGCCTCTGGAGTCAAGCCGTGAAGGTGTGTCGACTGGGCCAGACGCCAGTGCTGTGGGCCACACTGGCCGCCATGGCCACACGCAAGAATCAGCTCAGCATCAGCGAGGAGGCCTACTCCAGCGCCCTGCAAATCGACAAGGTGCACTATCTGCAGCACATCAAGAACCTTCCCGCGTCGAGTGCTGAGCAGATGGCAGAGAATTCCGTGCTCAACGGCCGCCACACGGAGGCCGAAATCTGCCTGGTGCACAACAAGAAGATCCGCGAGGCGATTGCCGTGTGCATGCGGATGCACAACTGGGACAGAGCACTCGAGCTGGCTGACAAGCATCAAACGGACGTGGAGTTCGTGCTCGAGGAGCGAAGGAAGTACTTAAAGGCACTGAATAAGGATGAGATGAATCCCAAATTCACCGCCATGGCGAAGATTAAATGAGACTGCATTTGAATAAATCACTCTCTCAAATGTAAGTTTAATGGATTAATAGAATAAAGAGTGAAAGATATCAAATAATTGGGGGAAAATCGCTCACTGATAAACTAAATTGTCTCTCTAAATCACTATGTAAATTATGCCTGATAATGCGCTCTTGATAAGGCGGATAAAATTGTCATGGAGAAACTCAAGTGTTTTACATAAAACGTAATTTGAAATAAATACAGTGGTTTACTTACGAAAATAAATATTGAATTTGGCAATTAATTAATGGCTGTTTGTGGAGGTAGAATAATCACTTGGCCGCCTTTCTACAGCTCATCGCTGAAGTGTTGGATGTTCTGCAGCTGATCGCCGTAATCTGTCGCCTCGCTGCCCACAAATGTCTCATAATTGGTGATAATCTCCTCATGGGACAGCCTGTCGTCGTGATCGTCGTCAGATGAGGCGAACAGATGATCAACTTCATCGCTGGCAACGTCCCTGGAAGGCGAAATCAGGCGTAAACATAGCACAATCTTGTTTACAGCAGAAAAGGTAATTGGTGTGAAAGAAATGCATTAAACTCACTCATTGCTCGGCACAACCCAGGCCAGAATTTCATTGCCATTGAGAACACCATCGCCGTCCTTGTCGTGCTCATTGTCGAACCTATTCTTCTCCACCAGCAGCCACTCCTTGTCGTGATGCTTGGCGGAATCGCCCACGAACTCCTTGAAGTCAATCTTCCCATCACCATCCTTGTCCTTCTCCCGCAGCGTCTGCTCCAGGATGAGAGGCAGCATCTCGGGGTGCTCCTCGGGACTGAGGAAGACGACAAACTCCTCCGGCGAGAGCAGTTCGTCGCCATTCTTGTCCGCCGCCTTGAACATCACCTTGTCGTCTTGGATGAGTTTGCTCTCCTCCTCGGCGTACTGCTCATCAGAGTCACGCACCTCAAACTCCGACTCCAGTCCATACGTGTCCTTCATGTACTCATGCCACGACGCCTGTCCATCCCCATTCTCATCCACATCCTGGAAGCGCTCATTCGCCTCTTCCTGCGACAACATCCTGAACGACCGCAAGATCCACGCCTTCAGCTCGTGCCTGTCGATAAATCCGTCCGTATTCAGGTCCATCTTCAGCACCAGCACACTCAGGCGCCTCTGGGCCTCCTCCGGAGTCAGATTGTCGAACTCCTCGGCCTCCTTCACGCTGCCCAGGATGGCTTCATGGTCGAACTCCGAGTGATGTTCGCCGCCGTCGAAGTGGTGCGCATTCTTGGGACTATACGAGCCATCCTCCATCCGCTCCTTGTTGCTGCTGTGCGTGTGCTTGTGCGTGGTCGCCGACAATACGGCCACAAAGAGCGTGGCCACAATAAACAGGAAGCACTCCACTTTCATCTCTCTCTCTCTCTTGTGTGTGTTGAACTACGTCGCAAAGCCGGAGGCGCTTTTATATGCCGTCGCGTCCCCGAAATCCGCTTAGATATGCTACTCTTACTACTGATATATTGCACCTAAGCACTTACTCAGTCTCACTGTTGACTCATTACTTTTTCGTCGAGGAAAATGCACTTTTTCCGCGGAATTTATAAACACACTCGCTCAGCAAACTGACGTGGGGAGATGACTTTCCGCACGGTGGCGCTCAAGGCGCTGAGAGGGCGTGTGAAGCCGATAAGAAAAATCGCGCGCTCAAATAAGATTTGAACTCTAGCCAATTTCCATGCATTTTTTTCTCTTTTCACATTGTTTGTTCCCAAAATTATAAGTTCTTGTCATTTTCAGCTTCCTTCACACTTGAAAATAAAATTCAGACAATCTTTTGGCCATTTTTCCAAGTGTCACAGCTACGAATTTCCCATCAATTTGCCACTACTCTAGCCTAGAGTGTGCATGCAATCTATCACATCAAATGATAAGGAAAAAATGAAAATTCTACATTTTGAACACTCATTAACGCGTCTCATCTTTATTGTTATTATTCATCATTATCTTTTGTACGTCTTAGCTAATAAATAAGTCTAATTATTATTCACCTTATGTACATGACACGTAAGTTTAAATATCTAAATTGGTGAATGATTCTTCTCCACTCTACAACACTATTAATTAGATAACAATGGCTCAATGATGGCCATTGAGTCAAAAATACATTCATTTTTCTTTTATTCATTTTGTCAATAAAATTATTACGGCAAAAAGTATAAGGAAAATAATTTAGAGGAATAATTTCCTCTCTGTCTACCAATCTAATTTGGAGCAAATGTACTTCTAATCTACATTATATAATCAAAAGAAATGACTTGAGGTGTGATAAAAACAGTTTCATTACATTTTCCACGCAAATTTCAGCATGATAAAACAGTGGAAATCACGGAGAAAAGAGCCCAAAGGTCAGTATAACTCTTTTACGACCATTTCTCCTACAATTTATCTCCCTTTTGCGAGTTGTCTCGTCGTAAAAAACACACTCAAAATGCCCCCCAGAAATGCGTAACAGAAAAAATCTCTATCACACCTCCAAAGCCATTTATAAATTAGTCTTTTATGAATAAAAAAAATAATCAGAATTGATACAATTTTCCCGCTCTGTGGAATTGGATAAATCATTCTTCATTTTCCGCTCTGTCGCTAACATTTACATTTTACATCTCTCTATCATTTTCGCTCACAAATAACATGAAGCACAACATGAAGCTATACTTTGTTCTATGATTTTCCGCACATTTACGCATCTTTTATCTGCAGTGTGAAGCTTTTGGCTCTTATTTCCTGCCAAAATGCTGTATTTAATCTAGCTAAACAATTCTCCAATGCCTTTTTTGATATTATATTTACGTTTTATTTCCCTCTTCTTTGTCTCATTGATAATACATTTTTTTTATTTTAACTTTACTTCATTATTAGCAATATTAATAATCGTCATTAGACTCTATTTTGGAGCAATTTCACTGCACACACAAAGAATTGTCGTCAGCTATTGTATTATTCTTGTCTCCATAGTTCATATACAGTCTAATTTTGGCACCAAAAAACCAATAACAAGAGATTATCCTTTTATGATAGTATGTTTCCCATTTCTAATTATACTACTCTATTTATATTGATCTTTTTTAAAGTCTTTCTCGATAAAATATGTATATATCTCGTCATTTTCTTTTTTTACTATTTCCTCTAACAATTTGTCGTCGTTTCTCTGGAAAAACTGGTTAAGAAGAAAACACAGAAAACTGGAGGGAAAAACAAACAATAGTTGAAAATCGTGTGGGAAATGCTGTTTATCCAAAAAGATATGCAAGAGGTAGAGACAATACCGTGTTATGCAATTATTCATCCGCTTCATTTTTACCCTCTTCTGATCCCTCAATTAACACTTCTTCCCATCATCAATGTCAATAAAAAAGTATTACAAGAAATACATATATTGGTAGAAAAATGTCTTTGTGTCATTCTCAAGATTGTATATCAATGTGTAAATAGTTTTTCATTTTTCCTCCTCCTTCTTCACCTTCTCATTCCAAAATAAACCAACCTTCAACATCCCTTTCCAAATTGGTAGAAAAATATGTTATTGTGTTAAGTTTTAGCGTTAGAGTTAGAAACTTATCAAGTATTATATGTTGAAAGAAAAGAATTTAAAAGAAATACTTACAATAATGCATTTAAAATCTATCATAGAATCTTTACAACTAGAAAAAACTTCTAAATTGTGTGATTGTGTATAAATCTTGAGATAAAACTCCGCCATTCCAAATACAAATGGCTTTATTATTGTATTTTCCTCACTCGGATTAATCATACTTCTTTGTAATCAACTATAAAAACAATTCAGTTGGTTTATCATCTCTTCAAAAAAGAAAATCTCCTCTCACAAAGTACTGAAGAAAAACACTAAGTTATTGTGTATATAAAAAAAAACTAAATTGAACTCAAAGTGATTCTTAAGATTGATGTAAAAGGCAAAATAAAATCATCATGTTTCGTGGACCCGAATAAAAATTCCTATCAAATGACCAAGAAAGCAAATTGTCAACCTTCAAATCTGTTGTATTGCTTCAGAAGACGCTAATGACTCTCATGACACAATCAAATTGATCTTTCCAACTCCGCGAGCGTCTCGTCTCATAAGAAATTCAATTTATCCACTCTCTTGATCATTCAACAGGTCGTGACTGCATTCGCACTGCTTAATATACAAAATCGCATCGCTAAATCAATTAAGTTTGATAGTCCAGCCCGAAAGCTGACTCTGACTAGTTGATTTGTGCATTCATGACAGGCAAAGTAATCGAATGGAGACCAAAGAAAGTAATATCAGGAAAAATCATACAAGATACGCAACAAAAGAATCCGCCTATGGCATCTTCAGCTTCGATCGGCCACTTTCCGCCGAGATATGATGATTGAATAGCACACGCGCGCAGACAGCTTCTCTCACTTCTTACACACCGGGCGATGAAGCGGGCTGTCGTGACTGGAACCAGATGGTCTCCTTGTACAGGAACCAGAGATCCGAGGCCCAGAGGAAGAAGTTGAGAAAGCCGAAAATCTGTGGAAAATAGAGAATTAATTCTCTTTTGCATATAATTCTTCCATCAGTCACTGTTAAACGCTTGTGAAATCATCGAATTTGCATTTTGAGAAATCCAAACGATCTCTCATGATAGACTATCGTGACTCATGTGTTCATTTAAGATTTTTTTTTACGTAAAACATCCAACAGGAAACCTAATAAAGAGTATTTCCATAATTTCCACACTTTTCTTCACTTCTTTTTTGCATGCCAAGAATTTTCCCATGGACAATTGTTGTTCTCAGATAGTCGCGAACGAGCACAAAAGCCACAGCGAAAGCAAAATGTTATCAGAGCCTAAAGTAGAACTTGGAGGCCAATTGGGAGATAAAAAAGTGTGTCTCTTGCAAAAATTATATGCAGGAAAACTCACGAGTGAAATGTTGAGGCGCGAGAAGCTGTCCACGGTCACCGTACAGCCTGGTAAATTGCCGCAACTGCGCTTGAGCTCGGTGGGATCGGTGACACCTTTGAGGGCAGTGGCGCCATTGGCCCAGGCAGCGCTGCCGGACAGCCAGAAGACGGCCAAGACGGTGGTGAGCATGAAGTCGGCGAGTGGAATCTCCGTCTTGCTCTTGTACAGCTCATCAATCATGGCATAGACGGCGATTATAAAGACACAATACAGCAGCGAGAGAACTCCTGTGGCCACGTAGAATTGCGCATCCGAAGTCACATTGGCGGAGATGAAGAGAGGTTCGCCGTTGCTCTTCTTACACACTTCCGCCCCGAACCGGAAGGGATACTCAAGTGGCCAGCTGCGCGTGGTGGTGCCATTGTCGCAGTTGGTCATGGTCAGGGTGTTGGTGAAGTTCACCGTGGTGGCGAAGGAGCAGATGGCGAAGATCTGAAAGTGATTTACTACCTTCAGTCCACCAGAATCTCCCACAATGCAACGCAAATACTTACAAACTGGAGAATTCTCATCACTCCGCGGGGCTCCTGGAAGGGTGCCAGTGTATAGCTCACCATTGTTGTCCTCTTGACGTTCTCCGGAGGGTGATTCAGAAGCTGCAAAGACCAGAAAACATGAGAGATAAGACGTCCAATTGTCACCCAATCAAGCTCAATCGATTTTTCTGCTTATCAGGAAACTATGGAGACCACTCAAAAGCAGCAAGTTTTTTCCCACAGCGCATGAGGCTTTTCGACGAAATCTTCAGTTTCTTCGGGATGCCCAAATAATTGTCATTATATGAGAAAATCTCGTGGAAAATCACCTGAGCGCTCTTTACCGATTGTCTGGGATTCGCAGTGACAAAAAGCCACGCCTCGACGAAGAAGCTGAAAAACGATTTCAGCAGGAAAACACAGCACTCTGCAAGATTCGGTGGATTAGTTGGGTGTCAGAGGACTTGCTTATCACTTTTTGACGCTACTGATTGTATTATTATTGCTTTATCGGGAGAAATTGATTGATTGCAGAACTTTCTTGCTAAACACACTCTAAGAGCTCATGTCAACTACCACCCAACTTAAGACAACCAGAGATTTTCCTGCGATCCACAAATCAACGAACGAATGACAAATTTATCAACGAATACCTGAAGAAAACAGCTGATTTAGCAACGAAATTCAGGTCTCAATAAAGTATTACTAACTCTATTAGAAAACAAGGTATGCGGCTCAGGAAATAATCCACAATCACTTTGAATATAGTTTTTTTCTCACTATAATTTCTTATTGGATGTCAATAGCAGTGATTCAGCGGAGACGCAGCGTGAGCGAACTGACAGCAAAATGGCGAGCCAACGTTGCTGCTGTGCGTTTGCTTGTGCGTGGTCGCCGGCATGATCAGTCTCACTGTTGACTCATTACTTTTTCGTCGAGGAAAATGCACTTTTTCCGCGGAATTTATAAACACACTCGCTCAGCAAACTGACGTGGGGAGATGACTTTCCGCAAGGTGGCGCTCAAGGCGCTGAGAGGGCGTGCGAAGCCGATAAGAAAAATCGCGCGCTCAAATAAGATTTGAACTCTAGCCAATTTCCATGCATTTTTGTCCTATTTATCACCGTTTTCCACCAAGTTTATTCCTGAAAATATTAGTTCTCGTCATTTTCAGCTTCCTTCACACCTGAAAAATGAATTTCTTCGGCATCAACACAATCAATTCGCTCTGTGTCCACCGAACTTCACCAGCTCAGTCACATAGACAATCGGACATTCTTGTATTGGGCGCGCTCTGTCTGGAAACACAAAAGTCAGCGAAAGTCAAGCGAAAGTGGATGTTTTTCCTCGACATTGAGAAATTTCTCACGATAAATTTTTAATTTCCCGTGAAAATTGATTCATCCCACCTGTCTCAATCATCTCACCCACGTCACGACATCAATATCCGCCGGATAAATAGTTGATTTTCTCATGCACGAGTGAAGCAAAGGTAAATTTTTCATATTCTCCATTGATGGCACTTTTCCCACTTCCTCAATAAAATATTGATCTGCCTGAAATTTTCCTACACTTCTGCCCATCCTTGGCAACACTTCTGTGTGTCAGAGCCATCCCAGTGCCTTTGCGGGAAAGACCTGTGTCTGGGTCTCCTTTTGTTGAGAGAGTTTCACAAGAAGTGGCGCGTTTCAAGGGTGTGTCAAAGAGTGAAGAGAAATTTGTTTGTTTTTCCACGGGCGAATGCAATAAACGGTATTTCTGGTATTTATTCCATTTCCAGAACACGATCTTCAATGCCATACGTTTTGGTGCGTGGGAATTTGGCGTCATACAGTCACAAATATCCGTGGAGAGTCTTGGTCTCCGGCCTGAAAGGTACAGTGGAAGTAAATCATGGGTGCTCCGCCCCCGGAAAGCTCCCAAATTGCCTGTGAAAAAGCCACTGAAGACAGTGAGAGAATTGAGGAAAATGATTAGCTCAACAATAACGAGAAATTGTGTGGAAATCTCAATGATATTTGACCTCTTAATTAGTATAATTTACACCCATTTTAACGGGGTGAATAATTTGTAAAAATTTGCATTGTGAGCACCAGAATTCTCTGCTGTTTTCAGTGCCTTTAACACCAATTGTAGTCACTTTATTTATAGAATAGTCTGTGAAAAAGGAGGAAAAAGTAGAGCGCGCAATAGATAAGAAGAAGTACAATTCTGCAGAAATTGATTTAAAAAATTAAATACCCATTCTTAAATTCGGTCACGTTTATTCATCACTTGAGAGCGCAATGAATAAAAGAGCAATGTAAGTGGGCAACAATCTCTTCAGTTGGCCTTTTATGGCTCTCTGGACGCATTCCAAAATCTCCGTGGAACGTGACAAGCGCGCCCAAAAAGAGCCTGAGAAGAGAAAAAGAGAAGAAAATTCATTGTGCGATTATGATTTGATTTATATTTATTAATCCCTTGACGACGAAATTCTGAGCAGAAGAATTAATCTCTTCTACATTCCTTAGACATTCCTAAGTGAGTCAAAGAGTTAAGAAAATGTATTTATATGGAAAATACTAAGAATTACTGCATGAATTGAAGGAAAGAAAAACACTTCTAATGCAACACAATTGTATCATACAAATTTGCTCAATCATAAATAGATTTTCGGCACAAATTTAGAAATCTTTGTAGCAAAGAAAGCACCATCTTGAGGTTTTGTCAAAATTGATCAAAAAATTCTTTCTCTGTCCCTTAATTTTGCCATTTTAGCGGCGGATATCGAACAGTTGAATAGATTTCCTTGTGGTGGCTATAGTGACGAGTCGACTATTGTGTACTTGCAGCATCCCTGTGTAATTTTAACAGCTCTGGAGGTTTGTTCGTCTGATCTCTTCTTCAGCACACACACAATGCTCAAAAGATATTTTGGTTTCATCACACACATCAACTGTTAATTTCCTTGTGGAAAAAAGAGCACTTTTTCCACTCTTCTTCTTCCATTAACACCGCATTTTTATTTGCTGGAATGGCTAAATTAATTCACCTTCTTCTTTCTTCCCTGAGTGTGTTTGACTAATTTTGGTTCACGGTATTTTATTTTGCAGCCTTAAAGCGTGGAAGGAGGTTTTAATTTCATCTGCATTTTTTATGTGTCACACACACTTCTCATGGTTTTTTCTCTCTTTAGTGGTGAGGACAACAATGAACGGACACGGAATTACTCACGCCCATTTGTTTTATGGTTGTCATTTAGGTGTTGGGCTATAGAGTTGTGGCATCATCGTCGACGGCCGTGAAGCAGGACTATAACGAGTACATGTGGACGATGCGCAAGGAATTCTCAGAGCCAGAACCATTCACAGATCCTTCAGTCGGCGAGAGAGACAATATCGCCAATTTTGGCCGAGAATCCCTTTCAGGCGTGCACAAAGTCGACGTGCCGGAATAAATTTGCATTTAATTGTGAGTATTGTGGAGCTATTCTAGAGATATTTCACTCTTAATCACTTGCAGACTTTCTTGTACAGTCATTATCATTGATATGACGCTGAAGCATTTTTATCTTTCCTCATTTGTAGTTTAAATGCGTTTCAAAAGTCATTGTTATTATTAAAGTAATTTCAAGAGGGAAAAAAAACATGTCCAACTGATAAGGCTATAAAGCCATGAATTCTGATTTTGGTGGATTTTGTGTGATTTCCCTAGATATCAATTGCGAAAACCCGAAAATACTCACACGCACGACACTGTTGCATGTCTGATAACGATGATTTTCAGCGTCACGGAATGTGAAATGTGCAAATCGCAAGAGAGACAGTGATTGACTGATAAGATTTGCATATGGAAATTGAGTCTTTCTCTCCCTTCTTTTCAGGGCTCCGCTCAAGTTGCCTCTCGCTGTGGCCATGGAATCGACCAGCCCTCCGGCCACCAAAATCATCCCAGTTCCCGTGCCGGCGATCCAGCACGAGGGCACGTACACATATGTGGCGGTCAAGGGATCCCTGTATGCGTCCGACAGCGCGGTGTTTGGGCTGAGCAAGGAGGAAGAGACGGCGCTGGCGAACAGATTTGCCACGGATTCTGACAAGATTGTGGGCGGAGTGATGATCAAGAATCATCCGATTAAGGTGATCAACACGCTGAGTCAGCTGGGCTACAAAGTGGTGTCAAGCACAGGTGAAGCCGAAGTGGTGTGGACAATGCAGCGTGAAGTCTAAGATAAAAAGAAAGTGCGCTCTGGTTCTCTTGATCTTGCAACTGTTAGTGCTGTAGATTTTTTTCATTCTTTTCTCACACACACAACACAGAGAATTTTCAAGAAAAAGGAAAAAAGGAGGAGAATTGAGGACATTTGCTTGTGTGTGTGTGTGTGTTTAGCGCAGAAACCGCCGGTGGAAACTCAGGTGTTTTTTTTCGTTACGGATTCTTTAGTTTTTATTTTTGTAGTGTGATTGATAAGAGTTTTTTTGCGAGTCAACAATGACTGATCATCATTTGCACGGAGGGTCAGACGATGATGGGGTGTGCCATTGTCGCCCCGGAGCAGCTGCTCAAACGCTCAACGAGATGGATTTCGAGAGGGGAATCTGGACAGCAGGTGAGTCACTGGGCGAAGCAAGAATCAAATCCTCATTAATGCGTCACTTTGCAGCTCTCTATGATGACCTCGATCGCCTGGATGTTGCCATAAAGCGAGGAGCCACAAATGATCGCGATAATTCCGGCTACACTGCTCTGCATTATGCCGCGCGTGCGGGTCATCTGGAGGCATGTCGTCGCCTTCTGTCGGCCGGCGCTGATGCCAATTGCACCACGAACGGCGGCGTGACGCCACTGCAGCGCGCCGCAATGATGGGCCGACTGGAAATTGTAAAGTTCCTCTGCGAAAAAGGCGCCGTGGCCGAGACGAGAGACTCTGATGGACAGAATGCGCTGCACAGAGCCGCTCAAGGAGGTCACAAGGATGTCGCTGTATATCTGATGGGCAGAAATCCCCGCCTGAAGAACACTCAAGATCACCGAAGCAGATTTCCAAGTGATCTTGTTGCGAAGGATGAAAACTTGCGGCGATTGTTGGCGCCAGATTCACAGTGTGAGTAAGAAGAAGAAAGAAGAAAAATGTTGAGTCTCATTTCGCAATATTCTTCAGAGGCAATTTTAATCTAATTGTTACAATGAATTACATTTTAAAATACAGAGTTTTTCTTTGTGACTTTCAATTGATTTTTCCTCCATTTAATGTTGTTTGTGTGTGTGTTTCCCAAACTCGTTTCGCACAATATCCATCATAATTTAATGTACAAAATGAATTTTTCCTCACTAAAGAGATGCAAAGAATCATTCAACATTCCTTATAAAGTTATTCAATCAATTAGAATTTATCCATGAAGAAGCGATGAAACACTAAAATGTGTACTTTATATGCTAACAATCTTTGCTTGTTATAATTTAAAAACGACATACTGTCCATAAGTAAATAATCGCATTAATTACCTATTTGGGTCATTAAATTGCAAACCACTAATAACACGCTCAATGAATACAAACAGAACACTTATATATGAATTTTAGGTGTCACACTACCGCTGGTTAATATCTCATAGAGGTTTTTTCCTAAATATAGTCTAGAATTTATGGTTGAAATTCAAGGATTGCGAAGCTTCAATTCAAGGACAGCGACTTAAACTGCCTTGAACTCATGAGAAAATGTAAATAAATGCAAGTTTTGCGTCTTGATTCTTGAGGAGAGGAAGAAAAAAGATTATTATTTTGCTTCTGATAAATTTGCCCCAAAAAAACGAAACTTCTAAATGTGATTTTTTAATGAATTTTTTCCTTAGAATGGCACTATATATGTATTTTTTTTATTATTACTAATCATATGCACGTTTTATCCCTGAATTTCTTTCTCCTTTTCCCTCTCTCTCTCTCTCTCTTTCTACACTTTTGTGAATTCTTAAAGAGTATTTTTTCTGATTTCTGAGTCTTGGGAAACACTGCAAATGTTATCATTTTAGTAAAAATATCGGTGAACATTGCTAGAAATCCTCAAATTACCAATAAATTTCCATGCAATTCTGATGAATTTTCTGAATGAATTCTTCTCAATGTTTATTTAGTTTTTATCCTACAAAAAAAATGATCTTTCAAGTGCATTTTTGGAGATGAAAACTATAAAAATATCTCTCTCAATCATTCGAACGTATAATTATTTCCAATCATACAATTTAATGGTTGAGCGAAAGTGTTCAAGATTAATTGGCCCAATTAAAAACCATTTGTTCGTCCTTGAGTCTCTATGTTGTTGACTCTTTTCATCATCATTCTCACTTTCAACAACACAAGCGCGCTCGCGAGGCGAAAACTGAGTGCAAATTGTGCGCACGGCGCTCGCTGTTGAGCGTAATTTGGGGATTTCCAGCATTGGCGCGCTAAACTATTATTCTAAATCCGAGAATCTATACACGTAAGCCGCGAGCCGCGGCGGCAGTCCCAGACTCTGAACACACTCCTCGAACATCGAGCTGGTGTAGTCCACATTGGAGTTGACCACGGAGGAGAAGCGAAAGACTTTGTCGAGAGATTTCATCCTCTGTCTGAGAGCGTCGCGAATGCGAATGCGCGCCAATTGCTGCAGCGACAGCGGATTGCGAGCGCTGAAGGCGAGATATTGCTCCACACTGCGCGTGTTTGCACCCCATGGGGGCGCCTTGATGGTCGCCACGACGTCCGGGAAGTCCCAGACGCGCAGCCCAGCATTGATGAGGTACTTCAGTATAATTGTCGTGCCATCGCGACGCAGCAACTCCACGGCATTGCCCATCTGCGGGATTCTCACTGAGCATCCCTCGCGGATGAGTATCCTGGCGTAGTCGTACTGCTTCACGCGAATTGTGGCGGACAGAGGCGTCTCGTTCCACAATGTGGCATCGATATCACTGTTGAGGTGCAGCAGCAAATTCAGCATTCGCTGGAACTTTGGCTTCGACTGGATGTTGACGGCCATGAAGATTTCCGTGGACTCAGAGGAGCACGTGGCACTCTTGGGCGCATACTGTGAGAGGAAGAGCACCATCTCCTCATTCCCAAATGTGATCAACTTCTCAAAGGCTGAGAGACCAAAGCTATCCCGCGCATTCACATTATCTCCCGCCTCAACCAGCAACTTTATCAGCTCGTTGTTGTTCGCGGCAATTGATTTGTGTAGAAGATTGTGCGATAGCACGATCCGGCAATTTCTCTCTAGCAACAGCCTCACCAGCTCCACAGATTCACTCATGACCGCAAGACAGAGCGGCGAGAGGCCTTGAGAGAACGAGAGAGAGAGAGAGAAAGAGAGTTTTTACGCTCATCGACACACAATTGCTGATGGCAGATTAAGAATAAAAATACTGTGACTCACCCTCGCGATCCTGAAGATTAATATTGGCACCGCTCTCAATCAGCAACTTCGCAGCAGAAACATTCCTCATCTGGATGGCCTCCATGAGCGGCGTGACATCTTGCAAATTGCACTCATCAACCAGAGCGCCGGCGTTCAGCAGCATGGAAACCTGCGACGAGAGAGAGCGCATAAACGGTTATCAGGAAGTTTCTTCTTATCGAAAGAGAAAAAAAAACCGAGCATGAAAGGACATTATCAACTGTCGATAAAGTAAAACACCTTTATTCGTGTTTTTTTGTCGTCATCTTGTGTTAAAGCAAACATTTGAGAAATCAAAAGTCATCTAATTGCTTGCAAATTCAATCCAATTCAGCAGTCATGCTAAATAAAGCACCTTAATTCGAAGAAATCGTGTGAGAATCAGAAAAAAAAACCAGAAATTGACTGTTGAATGGCAAAAACTGTGCTTTTTTTATTGTTGTATTCTAAGAAGACAAGAATTCTTAATATATTCACGTGTTTCATCTCATTTGCAGCACTTTATTTGGCAATTGACTAATAAAAGTCACTAATTTTCAATCATTTTATTGTCATTGCAACTTTAGAGTTTTCGTATTTTAGTTCTTTTTTATGTATTTATTAACCAGAAAATATCAATATCGCCTATTTTCTCGATTATCACGTGAAGTTTCCGACTTTTCGAGACGTTTTTTGAGACTTCATGCATTTCATAATTAATAATAATTCATAAGTTTGACAACATATTAAGAATGTGATGAAAATAAAGTTGCAACGACCTCTTAATCAATAAAAATAGCACAAGAATACTTGATTTCCTCCCTAAAGAGTGTGTTTGTGCGTGAAATAGTGAGAATAGAGGCACAAAATAGCGTATAGCGAGAGTGTTTCCCTCTCGGAATGCTCTCTATTATGTCTATATATGTTACAAATCCATCCGCTTGTGTGAGGTCAAATGCATTCATCACGCAACTGAAAAGTCGTACAATGAACGCACACACAAATATTTGCTTGTGACAATTGAGATGGAAATCAATTTTGATTAAATCACACAACATGATTGGAGTTAATCAGAATAGAAGAAATACTCTCTGTATTCTGTCTCTGATATCAATTGGCATGTTTTTCACAATGAAATTTATTGACCCACTCGAGAGAATTTCCCTTCTTCTGTGTCTTCATACTTTTTTTTTCTCTTATTTTGCGATAGTGATTATATACTACTGTAACATTTTGCACATTTTGAAGAGGAGGAACACTCTATCAATTGCGGAGACTCTCCCAAATTGAGCCAAATTGCGCGCACGAAACGCCAGGAAAGCCACAAAGAGAGTGAGAGAGAGAGAGAGAGATAGTCAAAATGAGTCTCGTCGTCAACCCACAAATTAACAGTCACCCGATTAAGTGAGACGGTCGCGAAGAGAAAATCAGAAAAATATAGAGTTTGCAGACACAAAGAGACTGTTTACCAACTGTTAGAACACGCATTGGCGGCATGATTGCACAAAGTTTTCCCACACACGTTTCACACAGAAGGCGAAAAAGGAGGGAATTATAAACTCTTGTGTGAATTTAAACAGTGCGCGCGCGTCTTCATTGGAGTTCATTGGCGAGCAAAAACAAAAATATCACAAATAAATTTAACACAAAGTGGATAAAAAGAAAACAAGTTGAATTATCTTCCTTCATTTCTGGCTCATATAAGATTGTGTCGAGAATCTTTTGTAGCGAGAATTCCACAATAAATAACACATATAACTTCACTCTCTGCCTTGTTATCACGATAATCACTCGTGGTCAATGCAAAAAGCCACTCAGTCTGCCAATATCATCTTCCAAAATCAAGGTTAATCAATCCCCAACACTTGTTATGCTATTGATTGGCTGATCAAGGAATTATTGTGGGAAAAAACTCTGTTTGGAATTATTAATTACATCATTATATTCAGCAAATTTATTAATAGAATTCACCAAAAGAGCAAAGAAAAAGCAATCAGATGCTGAATTGTGGGAATATCTTCGCATTTCTCTGTGTCTAAAGTGCAAATTTGAATAGTGGATAAAAGCATCATCAGAGAAAGTGTTAATAAAAATATCATTCGCTATTTTTACAGCGAACGCATGACTGTGAGAAATCTAGCAATAATTATCTCTCTTTGCTACTGCTTTTCCTGCACTTAACAATGCGATAACATGCTGAAATTCTCTCCCCCAAATCTCTCTCGGCTATCCACAAGTGAGAGATACAGTGGCAATTTTTCTTGATAAAAATATACCTCCGCTGAAGGACAGATCAATAAACCTTTATCCCATTTTCTCATCTTGTCGCGCGCATCGTCTTTGTCATAAGTTTTATTCACATAATGCATGAGAATGTGTAGGAAGTGCAGATCAAGGAATTTGCTTTGTCAGCTCCCAGGAACTTTGAGAGCCGATTGCTCTCGCTTGTGTGACGGGATCAATATTTGCTGTCTCGACATGGGAATTAGGTGTGATCGGCGCGGCATATTTGAGTCACTCGAGCGAGGAATCACTATCACTTAGCGCATTGACTAATGCCCACAATTCCACACCACTTCCAATTACCACGCCAAGCCATGTGCCGTCTTCATGATTCTCCTCAATGAAACTGTTTGTGACTCGCGCAGAGTGGAAAAAAAGGAGCGTGAAATGGCAACACTTGAGGCAATTCATCGATATAATTGATACAATACAAATTCTGCGTGCGATTTAGTAAACACTGAGATGTAAACAGAGGCAAAGACAAAAAAGAGTGCGCTGGAGAATGAGGAAGGCGAGAGAGACAAAGAGGATTATTCAGTTCAGCCCCAGTGAAAACAAGAGATTTGCCAGGGCGGCAAAAAAACGATCGCGCAGCGGACAAAAATAGCCCGCGAATGATAGCCGGAGAGCCTCCAAAAAGCGCGACATGGTGTCTCAAATTGGGGGTAATCCGATGATAATTGGGCATGGGAATCTACTCACGATTTCCGTGTTGCCGTTCCGGGCGGCGATCAGGAGGGGAAAGTCGCCGGATTTGAAGGTTTTCTGGTTCAGGTTGGCATTGTAGCGAATCAGGAGCTCCACCACGGACTTGTGCTGAAACTCACAGGCGATGTGCAGGGCAGTCTTGCCGGCGTGCGTCACGGCGTCCACGGGACACTTGTAGTCCAGCAGCAGCTTCACGCAGATCATGTGTCCGTGCTTGGCAGCATAGTGGATCGGAGCGTAGTGGTGGTAGTCCAAGCAGTGCGGATCGTCGCGTATCTTGCTGGCAGTGGTGAGCATGTCGCCGAAGTTCTCCCACATCCTGGCGTAGTACCTGAAAACACACCATCAGCGCAGAGTCCAGAGAAGCGACGCTGAATCCATTGGCTTACGTGTAGAGATTCAGCCACTCCTTGTCTGGCGAGAAACAGTAGCGCGAGTCGATCTCGTCATCCCACTCCAGGCCCTCCATCCCGTCCGGAGTGGTGTCGTACTCGCTGAGGTCCATCTTCTTCTGCTTGCCCTGGTCAGTCTCGGACAGCAGACGCGACAGAATGCCGTAGTTGCCCTTCATGGCAGCCAGGCCAATGGCAGTCATCCCGTTGGAGCCCACCTTCGTCGGATCAGCACCTGCACAGAAACACTGGACTGTAGAGAGACCGCCAGGAAGAGTCTCGCCACTGTGACTCAGGCGCATCCACCCACCTTTCCGGAGGCAGATTCTGATGTTTGTCATGCATCCCTTCTCCACAAAATCGCACAACTTCTCATTCTGCTTGTCGCTTATAATCGTCTCCATCCCATTCTCGCCACGGTCACTCCACAATTAAACACAAACCATCGGAGAATGAACTTTTCCGAGCCAGTTTCTTCACACACCCGCTTTGTGCTCTTTTTCTCTCTCCGTCGCGCCTTCGCATGACATTCGCACACTCGCCAGCGCCTCTCGCGGAAAATTTCAACTGAATGTTTGCAACGAATATTCGATGGTCATCTTTTATGTATTTCTGCCCAGGATTACAAACAAACACAGCTCATCGTCTGTAGCGATATCTCTTGAAGTGGAACCACAGCTGGAAGATGTTGTTGTGGAATTGACAACGGAATCCCCTCTTGTAGCTGAACTCCCAGTCTCTGTTCACGATCTTGAAGGCGATGTCCTCATAAGGCGGCCCCGCCTGGAACCTCAGCGTGGCAAAGTCCCTGTTGTCCTGACATGGCGTGAGGAAGTACTTGGGCGTGTTGTTCTTCTCAATCAGATCAGGATAGAAAATATTGAACTTGTATCCCTGCACAATCTTCGGCGGCGGATTCTCTAGATCGTAATGAGTCTGATTGTACTTGTTCCACTCGAATCCCGTGTGCACGCGATTGAAGTATCGTGGCTTCCGCGGTCGGTACTTGTCTGACCACAGATAAATTTGAGCGTCCAGCTTCGTCTCCACCGCAAACTCCGCCTCGTCGTCATTCATGCCCTTCCTGGCCTCCTTCTGCAGTCGCAAATCCTCGTGCGACACTTCTGGATCCTCCTCTTCGCGTCCAGTCATCCGACTGCGCAGATACTCCAGCTTCTCAAAGTCATCCTCACCCAGAATCACCAGAGTTCCCGGCTCCAGATCTTCCTCGCGCAGATAAGGCGGACTGTAGTTTCCTCTGACGTAGAGATTGATGCTCTCCTCCACGATGCTCTCATCCTCAGCAGTGTCTTCCTCCTGCGACGACTCTTCACTCTCCGAGGACTCCTCCCTCTGCTCAGCAGGTTGACTCGTGCTGGGCACTGGCGAACTCCTGGGCTCCTTCTTCACCACCACGTCAGAGATTTGCGTCTGTTCTTGTCGCAAGAGCTGCAGTTTGTGCTTCAGATTGTCCTGATGGCGATCACGGAGCCGTGATCTGGCCATGTGAGCCTTCAGCTGCGACAACAGACTCTCCCAGTACCCCACATCCACTCCGTCACTCTGCCCAGATATCTTGCTCTCAATCTTCCGCCGCAGTTCTTCCAATTGCAGTGTTGTCTTTCCTCTGAAGATCTCTCCAACGTCCTTCGCCACACTCTGATGGATGCCCTCGCGACGCCCCAGAGTCGCCTGGTATTCTGCGTTCTGCATCTTCTGCAGTTTCTGCAGCTCATCCTCCACGATGATCGTCAGGTCTTCCCAGTATTCAGAATTCTTAGACTTCTCCAGTTCCATGTACACCTTGATATCCGCCGTGAGGTCCTCCAGATCTTTAATGCCCAGCCCATTCAGATATGTGTACGGCTCGTGCATCTGCATCTCCAGGCAGTCGTCCAGGTTCTGATCGCTTATGTACTGCGCCAGGAGATCAATTGGCTTCGCGCGTCCATCCTGAATGCGAATCTTGCTGCGCAGGCGCGCCTGTTCCAGGTGAAACTGATCCTCCTGACGCTCCCACTCCTCAAACTGAGCCGCTTCTCTCGATCGCTGCAGCATATTTTGCTCCTCCTCGCGCTTCTGGCGCTCCAACTCGCGCTCCTGTCGGCGCTTCTTCACTTTCTCCAGCTCAATCTTGTTTTCCATCTGCTTGTGACGGTTCAGCGTCTCCAGTTGCTCCGTTGTGGCATCCTTCAAGCCCTCCTTCTCCAGCTTCTTCGACCACACGAACGTGGTCGTGAGATGAGAGTCACCGAAGGGATTGTCCTGATTCGTGTAGTGCTGATACTCCTTGTCCCAGCCCATTCTCTCACGTCGCTTTTGCTCCTTGGTTTGCTTCTCGAAGAGCCGACGAGCTCGCTTCTCCTCTGGAGTCTCGTTAGCCTTCATCTCCTCACGCTGGCGCTTCCGGTCGACAACCTCTTGCTGACGCCGCGCCTCCAGTCGCTTCATCAGCTCATACGAGTTCCTCGTGGAGTCTTCAGGACTGGAGGAGGACGATCTGTGGCGTGATTTCGACTGCTTCTTCCTCTTGGAGTCTCTTCTTCTATTGCTTGAGTCATCAGAAGAACTAGAATCTCTCCGGCTGCGATGTTTTGATCTGCAATGCATATTCCACACAATTAATCCAAAACTGACTACTTAGAACTACACAGTGACTCACTTCTTAGACTTTTTCGGCATTTTTACTGTGCTTTTCTGAGCTGAAACCTATGAAAATACCAAAAGATATCACAAAAGCACGATTTATTTACGTTTTAACATTTGACAACTCGCAAACTGCTTCCACTTCATTCCGCAACGTGTCGCTGATGGCGTAGAACAGTTGTATAACAGTCGGGAAAACATTCTGCGAGGAGAGTTCATGGGATAGTTTTTCGCTGAAAATCTGAGAAAAAGCATCGGAAAATTTAGTAAAATTGTTCCGTTTTGCAGAGAAGTGTATGAGTTGCTAAAAGAAGGCAGGGTTTATTCGATATCTGATTGATAATTGTGTCTAAACAAAGATGTAAGTTGGAGTGTGTGTGGCAATGTTTTTCCTCCTTATTTTCACAATAAATTAGAAAATTTCCCTGATTTTCCGTTATTTAAGTGTATTTAAGAATGTCAAGAATCATTTGGGAGTATTGAATTGTTTGTGTGACTGGTATTTTTCTTGTAATTGCAGACTCTGTGACCTAACCTCACATTAGCCAAATCGCAAGTCATTAGAGAAGCTTTCCCGGAAAACATCCCCTGAAAATGGTTGAGGAGACAAAGGTGGCTATTGAGAAGGACCCCAAGGCGCCTCAGGATGAGAAGGAGAAGCCCAAGGCGGTGGAGGAGGAGAAGGCTGAGTTGTCTGAGGATGACAAACAGCTGCAAGAGGAGCTGAATATGTTGGTGGAGCGTCTGCAAGAGCCCAACTTGGATCTGTATTTGCCCGCTCTGGAGGCTCTGCGGAAGCTGATTCGCGCCTCCACGACGTCCATGACGTCTGTGCCGAAACCCCTGAAGTTCATGAGGCCGCACTATGAGACGATGAAGGAGATCTACAAGAAGATGGTGACGGGAGAGCAGAAGTTCGCGTGCGCCAACATAATTTCGGTTCTGGCCATGACGATGGGCACCACGGGCAAGGAGTGTCTGGTGTATCGCTTCCTGTGCGATCCCACGGATCAGATTGGCGACTGGGGACACGAGTATGTGCGCCATCTCACGTGGGAGATCAGCCAAAACTGGAATGAGACATCGGAGAACTTCCGCACGCGTCTCATTGATCTGGTGAAGCAGATTGTGCCGTACAACATGACGCACAACGCCGAGGCGGACGCGTGCGATCTGCTGATGGAGATTGAGCAGCTGAATCTGCTGGAGGAGTACGTGGACGAGAGCACCTATCCGCGCGTGTGTCTCTATCTGCAGAGCTGCGTCCCATACGTGCCGGATCCGGAGAACACGACGCTGCTGAAGGTGGCGCTCAGCATCTTCCGGAAGTTCAAGCAGTACACGCAAGCCATGCGTCTGGCGTTGATGCTCAATGACATCCCGGTGATTGAGGAGGTGTTCAACTCCTGTGACGACACGTCCATCCGGAAGCAGCTGGCCTTCATGCTGGTGCGCCAGCAGATCTTCATCGAGGTGAACACCAGTGCGGCGGATTATGATGACTTGGTGGAGATCATGTCCAATTCGCATCTGAACAATCACTTCCTCAATCTCGCGCGTGAGTTGGACATTATGGAGCCGAAGACGCCTGAGGATGTGTACAAGTCGCATCTGGAGAACTCGAGGACGCCATTCGGTGCCACACCAGTTGACTCTGCACGGCAGAATCTCGCGGCCAGCTTCGTCAACGGGTTTGTCAATGCTGGCTTCGGGCAGGACAAGCTGCTCATGGAGGATGGGAACAAGTGGCTGTATAAGAACAAAGAGCACGGCATGCTGAGCGCCACGGCGTCACTGGGACTGATCCTCCTGTGGGACGTGGACAGCGGCCTGTCGTCCATCGACAAGTACTTGTACTCCGCTGAGGATCACATCAAATCCGGCGCCCTTCTGGCGTGTGGCATTGTCAACTGTGGCGTGAAGAATGACATCGATCCGGCGCTGGCACTGCTCTCCGACTATGTGCTGCATCAGAACACCACGATGCGCATCGGGGCGATTCTGGGCCTGGGATTGGCATATGCCGGCTCAAACAGAGCCACAGTGCTTGAGCTGCTGTGCGGTGTGTTCAATGTGGACAGAAAGACGGGCTCCACGATTGAGTTGATGGGAATGGCGGCTCTGGCTGTGGGCATGATTGCGGTGGGATCCTGCAATGCGGACATCACCGAGACGCTCATTCAGACCATCATGGAGCGCTCAGAGGCGGACTTTAAGGACACATATGCCAGATTCCTCCCGCTGGGCTTGGGATTGCTCTATCTGGGCCGTCAGGAGGCTGCCGAGGCGGTGATTGCGGCACTTGAGGTGATCCAGGAGCCCTTCCGCTCCATGGCCACGACAATGGTGGAAATCTGTGCCTATGCTGGCACGGGAAATGTGCTGAAGATCCAGCAATTGCTTCACATTTGCTCGGAACACTACGAACCGGCAGCGGAAGCGGAGTCTTCCAGCTCGTCCAAGAGCAGTAGCAGCAGCAGCAGCAGCAGCAACGCGGCCAAGGATGAGGCGAAGCAGGCCAAGGAGAAGGAGGCCCGGGAGAAGGATCTCTCGTCCACACAAGCAGTGGCAGTGATTGGAATTGCGCTGATTGCGATGGGAGAGGAAATTGGCTCGGAGATGGCTTTCAGATCGTTTGGGAATCTGCTGAGGTACTGCGAACCGGTGATCAGGCGAGCTGTGCCACTCGCTCTGGGCTTGATCTCTGTCTCAAATCCCAAGCTCAACATCCTCGACACACTCAGCAAATTCTCGCACGACAGTGACATCGAAGTGGCTCACAATGCCATCTTCGCGATGGGCCTGGTGGGCGCGGGCACGAACAATGCCCGACTGGCGTCGATGCTGCGTCAGCTGGCACAGTATCACGCCAAGGAGCCCAATAATCTCTTCATGGTGCGCATCGCCCAGGGATTGACGCACTTGGGCAAGGGCACAATGACACTGAGTCCGTATCACAGTGACAGGCAGCTGATGAATCCTGTGGCGGTGGCGGGACTGCTGTCCACACTGGTGGCATTCCTGGACGTGAAGAACATCATCCTGGGCCGCAGCCACTATCTCCTCTACACCCTGACGGCGGCGATGCAGCCGCGCATGCTGGTGACGTTCGATGAGAACCTCAAGAGTATCGCCGTGCCGGTGCGCGTGGGCATGGCTGTGGATGTGGTGGGACAGGCGGGAAAGCCCAAGACCATCACGGGCTTCCAGACGCACACGACGCCCGTGCTGCTGGCCATGGGCGAGAGGGCGGAACTGGCCACCGACGAGTACATCTCGTTGGCGCCCATCATGGAGGGTTTCGTGATCCTGCGCAAGAATCCCAACTACGTGCCCTAAAACTGCCCCCAGGAGAGCCTCCCTCTTTTTTCTACAACACCTGTAACTCTAGCTTGTACTGCTGATTTGGAATTAAACTGAAAAAGCCCGAAATCTCTTCTTTCTTCATCTTGTTTATTCTCCTCCACAACTGAGAATGTCTCTTGTTTTACACCTCGATTTGCCGTCCGGAGATGCCCTTGTTTGTCTCCGCGAGGAAGTTGGCGTACTCCTGGTACGGCGTCTTGCCCAGCTGCATCTCCTTCCACAGGTCGGGCGTCAAGTAGGCGTACGTCTTGGCGATGGCGGCGTACGTGGCCTTCGCGAAATTGCCCAGAGTGCCAGTGGAGCCGCGGGCAGACGTGTAGCAATCCTCAATGCCGGCCATCATGAGGAGCTTCTTGGGCACAGGCGCCGACACGATGCCAGTACCGCGGGGAGCAGGGATGAGGCGCACAGACACTGAGCCGCACTTTCCGGTGACCTGGAAAGAGAGAAAGGAGATTCTTAGCTCTCGTTTCGATTGAAGATGAGGGAGTTTTCTGCTGGTTTGTGGAGGGAATATCAGACACTCTTTAGCCATCCTCGGACTCCTGGGGAGTCCTCCGGTGGAAACCGCAAAAGAGAAAGGTGCAAATCATCATGAGAAATCATGGGGCAGAGACGGAAGAGAGAAAGGGCAGCGGAGACTCACCTTGCAGGGCACAGTGTGTGGCTTTCCGATCTTGTTGCCCCAATAGCCGCGTCGCACAGGCACCACGGACAGCTTGGCGAGGATGATGGCCCCGCGGATGGCCGTGGCCACTTCCTTGCTGCACTTCACGCCCAACCCAATGTGTCCATTGTGGTCACCAATGGCCACGAACGCCTTGAAGCGCGTCCTCTGACCAGCACGTGTCTGCTTCTGCACGGGCATGATCTTCAGCACCTCGTCGCGCAGGGACGGCCCCAGGAAGAAGTCGATGATCTCGAACTCCTTGATGGGCAGCGAATACAGATAGATCTCCTCCAGCGTGCGGATCTTGCCGTCGCGCACCAGGCGACCCAGCTTCGTCACTGGCACCCACTCCTTCTGGTCCTCCTTGCCGCGTCCCCGGCCGCGTCCTCGGCCCCTGCCGCGCCCTCCGCGACCTCCACGTCCGCTGCCGCGTGAGCCGAACCCACCTCGTGATGGGGCGTCTGCCATTCTGCAAGAGAAACACACAACATTCCCGGATTGAGGTTATGTCAGCTACCAAAACAATCCCTCACAAAATCCCTTTGGGGGTCTTTTGCATCGCATCAGACATTTCTCAGCCGTCATTGAAGTCTCTTCTCCGGTGGAAACCGCAAAAGAAATAAGAAAAATCATCATTTTGATGCCAAAAGACGCCCTCCGGGCTTTCACACGTGGCTCAACACAAAAACCTCCCACAATTGTGCCACTTTATCAGAAATCACATGAAATCCATCAAATAACAGAGGATGATTACTAGAAGAAGTGATTTACTTGATTCAAGGGTTTGAATTTGGGGCAGAAACTGGGGAAAAGGGCGAATTTCTTCACTCACCTTATTGATTATTGGAGCTCCTTGTCAAGCAACCAGCAAAATGGCAGAGAAACGGGGTTGCCCGTGCCGCCTGCAGAAAAAACCTGCAGATGTGAGCCGCAAAGAATTAGTGGCGCCAAGTGGGGAAATTGCCTCAAAAAATGCTCTTTTTCCAGAAATTTTCCCAATTTTTCTGTAATATGAGCTCTCAGTTCACATCAAAGATCCAATTCACATATTTTTATTTAGTAAATATACCAAAATACCATGAAATGTTGTCAATTGAATTATCTGCAAATTCAATTGCGCCATTTTTGTCCCGCGCTATTATCCACTGGAGGGCAGTTGAAGCGAGATCGTGTGAAATTCAGTGGCGTCTTTTTCTTTCATCGTGTGAAAAACTCAAAAAAACCCGTAGATTTACCAATCATCCAGTGTACCCTACATCAACAAATCATTCAACTATTCATCCTGGGACAATGCCTGAAGAACTGGATAAGGAAATGGTATGATTTGCAGTGTTTTTTCAGGTTCTCGCTCACCTTTCAACAATGGCCGCCCTCTTGATTCCTCTTCACAGACAGATGTTTCCGGATCGCAGCGCAGCAATGGCGCGTCTTCTACAAAATCATCTTCCCTTGCTAAGGTGGATGGCATTAAGGAACGCCTGACGCGCTTTTATAATGTCTTGTTTGACCCTCCAAATGAGCGTTTTAGGCTTTTCCTGCCCAAGCAAGCGCTGAAGCAGGGAAAGATGGAGAGTATTTGTGAGGACAGATTTCGAGTTTGCGCTGGCAAAGTGGTCGCTTTGAAGGCGGACAGGAAGCTCGTGGTGCAGGAGAATAAGAAGACTGCCAATCTTATACGGGAGATTGAGAAGATTTGCCACGAGAGCGCTCAGGTGGACAAAAATGAGCAAATCCGCTCGAACTTCATGATGCTTCAGGAGTCGATCAAGTTGTCGAGTAACGCCGTGTCGGAGACGCTGGCACTCAGACTGAGCGTGATTGCGAAGGAGAGCGAGGCGCGAGACATCCCTGGCAGGTCTCAGTCGTCCGAGCAGATTGAGAAGCTGGTGCACTCGCTGTGCCGCGAGTACAACAGCAGCGCAGATCTCGTTCGGCAGATTCCCGCCATTCGGGATGAGTTCAAAGCTTGCGGAGCGCTGGTTCAGGAGGTCAACAAGGCCAAGGCCATAGTTGAGGAGGCTCGGATGAATCACAAGGGTATTTCCGAGATCATCAGTCTTCTCAGGGATGATTTGGTCGCTGCTGAAGCGAAGTGTAAGGAGCAGAAAGTTGAACTTGAGGGAAAAATTGGTGTTGGCGCAAAGATTGAGGAGTATTTGAAGATCAATGCGATCGCTCTGACTGACATGAAGAAGAAGAGGGCGAAGCTTGAGCAGGAGACGAAGAAGATGGTCGCCAATCAGGCTCAAATATACGAGATGCACAAGGAAGTGTTGGAGGGCGAGCAGGATAAGCAGCAAGGACTCATGGAGTGTGAGGAATATTATGGAAAGCAGCTGGCGAACATCGGAAGTGCCAATGATTCACTGCAGCAGACCATTGATGACTTCGAGAAGCAGACAGCAGAACTCGAGAGCCAAATCCATGATGAGAAAGTGACTTTGCAGGTGAATATTGGATGAATCCACATTTAATTAGCGGAACAAGAGATGAAATCATTATCTCTGTTTCCAGGAATTGAAGGCTGATCTTGAGGCTTACGAGGCGAAGCAGCAACAGCAGAAGGAGCTGGAAAAGGAGTTGGCAGCGCTGAAGATTGCGCGCAGTGCCATGAAGAGCCTGAAGCGATTTGCCGCGTCCAACAGCGAAGACGGATCGCCGGCAGCGAAGAGGACTCCGCAGCGCTACAAGCACGTCTTCCGTTCCTACTCGCATTCGCCTTTTGTCAAATCACAGAGTAAGTATATATATGATTGGTCATTTTCTTTATTCTCAGCTGCATAATACTTATCAATTATGTACATAATTTACATAATATTTCTTTCTCAAAATATTCACTAAACATATTTACAATATTCTTCCTTTCACAATATAATCCTCAATTAGTCACTTTTCTTTATAATATCAGAAAAAATTCTTTTTTTACGTTGGAAATCATTCGAAATACGATTTGCAAAGCGATTCTTGTTTTTTTTTACTTGAAATTACGTAGACACGGAATTCAATTAAGTAATTTTTGATGATAATTCTAGGAATTACATTCCTGATTCTGCTATTCCTTCGTCATCTGGAAGAAGAATTGAGAGAGAAAAAATGGCATTTTTTCAGTTCCTTTCATTTTGTTCAATATATTTTTACAACACAAAAAACATTCACTTTGCTGGACAATCAATGAATGCAATTATGAAAATGTCTTTTAGAGTTTTTTTTTTATGGTAAAATGAACGTGATTTCATTCTTTCAATTTGATTTAACAAAAACATGCTTGAAACTAGAGAATTTTCTATCTAAAATTGTTTTTGAAAGCAATTTTTAAGGTTATTCTTGAGAAGATCAGAAAAGATTCTAAACAAAAAGAATTTTCGCGTAGATTTTCGGTTTTTCGCCACTCCTTTGTAAGGACAATAATTACAATCACATTCAAATTACCACATTTTCGGAGTATTTCACAAATTCTGCACACAAATTGGGATGAAACACATGACAAAAAGGTGTTAGTCAGACTAATTAACAAGGAAACAAGAAAAACACTACAGAAATGAGGTTTAGAGAGGCGAAAACAGTGAGTTTAGCATCTAAGAAAAACATGAAGGAGGTTTCATTGTACCAACCCAGGATGCAATTACTTGTGTTAAGTCCATCACCATCACTGTTCCCATTGGTGTGAATATCAGGATTAGTGTGTGGCAAGAGTTCCTCGTCGTCAGTGAAGCCATTGCTGCCATTCTCATGTATTTCGCCATCACCATTGACAAGGAGTGTGCATTCGTGATCGTTCTTCATGATGATCTTGTATCCTGCTTTGCTGTTGCGCGTGATCTTCTCCTCATTGTCATCTTCATCGTCATCGTCGTTGTTTAGCGTGCAATTGCCGTTGTAGATGTCGTGAAAGCCATTCTCCACGGCAACATCGGCCGCTATGAACTTGATTGAGGCTCGCGATTGTCGCTTTTCGGTGGGATTACTCTCCAAATGGGCGGCATTTTGAATTTCAACCACAATTTCGCTGCTCTTCTTCGTCAAATCTTCACCATACATATCGTGTACACCATTAATTGCTGCCGTCTCATCACAGTTACCCTCAATGGACACAATTATCGTGTCATCAGCATCTACAGGTGGCGAATTGTTGTCCGTAGTGACAATGAGGACATTGTCACTATCGCTGTCCTCCTGTCATCTCTCTGTCTTCCACTGATTCGTCATCTCCTCAATGCCATTCATCGTATTAACAGCTAAGAGTAGATCATCTTGTTTCTCTAAATATATCAAAGTATGGTTTTTTGTTTTGGTTTTTCACCCGCAAACAGAGATTTCGCGGGATTCATACAAAAGAAACAATCCAGGAAAAATTGTGCAGCAAGAAAAGAGATTAGACGTGTAATAATATCAAATCATTTGGGAGAAGTGTATGAAATATTGTCACGTGACTTAAGTTATTAAGCTTCAAAAAGGGGGTAAAAAATAGTAAGAAAACATAAGCGTAATTAACTATTGCGTATTTTCAACTAAATAATAAAGGGAAAAAGGCATTTTGGTGCAATAAAATAATTAGAAAACTCATATTATAAAGGAAATCGACCAAAATTCCGCTTTTCACAAGACCGGGCGACAAATTATTAATTATTCGAGTGAAAAAAATTTTTTTTTTTAATTTTCAGAATTATCCTTAAATGTTCTTTGATTTTGACTGAATATTTCTCATGTCTTTAATAATTTCACTTGAAATGTTTAAAAGAAAAGGTGAAGTATGATAAGTTAATTTTTTTTAGAACTCATTTAGAGTTTTTCTATTATCTTTGCCATATTTTAGTCAAAAATTCCAATAAATATCAATAAAATGAATTGATATATTCACGAAATAATTATTACTGAACAATTTGAAGGTGTTTTGTATTAAATTTGGCAAATTTCCCTGCTATAATAATGCTATATTTTCGTACATTTTCGAAAGAATTCCAACAATTTCTAATAATAATAATAATATGAGTTTTCTCTTGGCAAAAAGAGGGTGCAAAATTCCCGCCACAACTTTACGATTATTTAGTCAAATTGGTGTTATCACAAGATTTCATTATCTCTAGCGTCGTGGTGTAAATTTGTAGGGAAGAAGAGAAGTGTTTGTGAGCTCACTTACATACCTTCATATCCCTGATTGTCGTGCATCTCACGCGGTGGATACATGACATTCTCCTTCCCTTCCAGCACAGCCTTCAAACACTGATGTATGCAGATGTACTGCTGCTCCGTCTGCACCATCCAGACTCTCTCTGGAATTCACAAGCAAGCAATATTGCATTATTATTTCTCTCCTTTTTATGTTCCATCATTGCTGTCGTGATTTAGGAAATGACATTAAAAATCTACGTGAAGTGCGTCAAAGACACGTTCTTTTAGGGAAATTTACCACAGGTTTTTGTGGCAAAAGTTGATACAATTCTCAGTAGTAGAAAGTGATAATGAAATTGCTGATAAACATACAAAAGAATGGAGTTTAAATGAGGGATTTTGTAGGGCCATAAGTAAGATTGATGAAGAAAGATTAATTTAAGTGATTCATCTTTCAATGTTGACTCAATTTTCTGAGAATGCACTAAACTTTTTACAGTCGTTGAAACAATTCACGATTCTTCGCCAAGAAACAATTAAGTAGAGTAATATTTTTATGGAGAAAAATACCTTTTCGCATTGCCCAAACAATGCCAAATATGTCCACGTAATCGGACACGACGATCTGCTGAAGGATGCGATCGAGGGCGATGAAGGTGCCTGAACGGCCAACGCCAGCGCTGCAGTGCACGACGATGGGCTTCTGATCGGGTCCCACGTATTCACGGAAGGCTCTCACGAAGCGTGCCAGCGTCTGAGGCAGACTTGGCACACCAAAGTCTGGCCAAGTGGTAAAGTGGAAGTGCATAATGCTTCGCTCTTGATTGCCCTGAAGAAAAAAGGAGAATTGATTTGAGAAAGTCGTATTAGTCAAATAGAAGAGGGAAATCTTACTCGACTCATGTTGAATTCCGTGATGACCCAATCGGGATAATTGCTGACATTCTTCATCTGCACCCGAATGTCGCCGTAGTACACGGGAACGGTGTCATTTGGCCAGTATCTGTCGCACTTCTCGCGTCCTTTCTCATTGCATCGCGTAAGCATGACGATGGCGCGTGAATTGCTCTCCCAGCACATTCGCCAGAAGTCATCGCGCGTGCTGTGCAGTGGTCCTTGCGTGACGATGAACTCACGCGGGGAGTTGTGACCCGGCACGTAGTTGGCATTGATGTAGTCTGAGCCCTCTTCGTCGTCCACGGGCTGGAGTTTGAAGCGTGAGTGGTCGTATGGCAGAATGTTTGTAAAGCGATTCTTTGGTCTATTGCATGGCAAATCGGCAAATGTGCATGGTTGATCGCGTCCCACGTGCTTCAACTCCTCAAATTCCTCGCTGAAGCGAAAATCTGAATCTGCCGCCATTCGGCGATAGTGCTCAATGAAGTTCTTTATCTCAATTGGGCGATTGGTTTCAATGACACTGTCCGGAAGTGACATATTGTCACTGGAGCGCGGTTCTTTTGTGGCCTTTCGTGTGCCGCTCCTTCGTTTCCGTATGAAGAACACCGCCACGAGGATGAGGATCAATAAGCACAGACTCACTGAAGTGGCAATTATGATTGAGGTGTTATCTTGATCTACAAGAGGGAGAGAAGTGTGTGAAATTATTAATAGCACTTGTGCGATAAATTTCTGTGTTATATAAGACAAGCCGGGCTGAAATATTACACACAAACACACACTGTAAAATGTTGAAAAGACTTTAAAAAAAATCACTACAATTTAAGAAAATCAATTAAACAATCATCAGGAGTTGGATGAATATTGAGGGAGAATTGCACTGTTTTTTCAAAGGTAAAAGAAACAAACATATTTCTTCACAAGACAAATGGGAAACTCAAGTTGCACAATAATTATGGAAAAGCGGCAATAAAATAAATACGTAAAATATAGCAAATGATAAATAACAGGAGGAGGTAAATATATAATCTTGATGAATTAACAAGGGGAATTTTAAACGTGAAGAAACATCAACAAAAGCACTGTCACTTGAGCGACCTACAAAATTCACACAGTTTGTGGCGTAAAAATAGTAAAAGTAGAAACACTGGCAAAAGCGCACAATTTTTGGCTCATTGACGAAAGACAATGGAAAAGTAGAGCAAATTGTTGTACTCTAAGAGACAGACAGAGAGGAGAAACTCACCCACTGACAAGAGGCCTTTAAAATTGAATGATTTGTAAAAAAAAGAGAGAGAAAGAGAGAGAATTATTTGAAGATTTCGCTGCTGCGCTGATGAAATATAAATGTGTCAAATATCACAGATTGAATGAAAGACTGTGAGTGAATTTTGTTCGTAACACACGATCAGAAGAATGTATTGGAAAAACTCACCAGTTTGAATGGGAAAACTGTAGGCGGTGTCCGTGAATTTATCTGGTGCAGTAAATGCTCTCACTTTGACTCTATACACTCTTCCCGATTTCAATTGTCCATTGCAATATCCCGTCTGTTTCACATCGCAATTCTCAGCGCCAATCGTGAAGTCCTCCACGGAGTTGTTCTTGAAGGGATAATATGGCTCGATGACTTGATAAGGTGGCCAAATGCTGTACGATTGCACATCACGCCATGATGGCATCTCCAAGCCGGAGGCATTCTTTGTGTCATCCTCAGCCACAATGATGGTGTACATGATGACGGCGCCGTTCTGATCGGAGAAGTAGTTTTTGCGGAAGCGTATTTGAATGGACGACGAGCTTCGGTACACTTCAGTTGGCACCACTTGATTAGCTGGCTGAGGTGGGGCCAAAATGGGCATTTTCTGCTTCCAAATTGTCTCTGGACCGTATCCAATTGCAGTCTGTGCTTGTATTCGGAAGACATAGTATTTGCCAGGGAGGAGATTCTTCAGTACACCGTGGAATTCTGTCGGCTTGAAGTCCAACACTTGAGTGTGCGGTGAACCCTCGAGGCCGTATGTGATGGAAAATTGGCGAATGATGCCATTCTGCTCACTTGACGGCAGTGACCATTCAAAGGTGATTTCACTCGGCTGAATGTCCACCGGCTCAAAGCGATCCACTCTTCCGGGTACGGATTCCTTGGTGGTGAAGCTGGCCGACACTGGAAGACTGTTGCGCAATACACTGGATTCTGTGCCTGAGCGCACAACCACCGTGAATGTGTAATTGCGATGGGGTTTCAGATCTTTTATCGTAATACTGTCGTGCACAGTGAGATTTTGTACATAATTATTGTCAATGGTGAGATATTGCACCTCAAATGCATTGTATTCGCCATTTGGGATGTCCCACTTGAGAGTGATTTCTGTGTCAGACACTCGAGTGGCGTTGAGTTGGGTGATTGGCTCGGGATACATGCGATCCTGTCGCTGAATTGGAAGACTCGCCACACCTCCGCTCACAGTCCACACGGTGATGTTGTACAGACGACCCGGCATAAGTCCTGAAAAGGTGTAAAAAAGGGGAGAAAATGTAATAATTAAAGACTAAATAGTCGATTCCTGGCGAAAGTCTGCACGCTTATTGACTCACCTGTAAATGTGACTTTGCGATCTGTGTCGTTGGCCAATTTCTCCTTATCGAGAATATCTGGGTCGCCGAGAGAGAAGCGATAGAGGTCAAATTTGGAAGATGTCTGTGGCGTTGGCGTGTAACTCAGCGTGACCATATCGCGCTCTTGCAGGTTGTTCACCACAAACACTTCCGATTGAATCAATGGTTTGGTTCTTGTGGTCAATTGTGTGATATCACTGATCAGGCCGTAGGAAATGGTGTGAATTTTGAACTGGTACAGCACGCCAGGCATTAAATCGCCAATCAGGACGTGAACTGTTGGCGTCTCATCGATGCTCAATTTGACTTCTGATGCGGATTCACCTGCCCAACTCATGGGAATCACGTAGACTTCAGAGACATTCTTCGTGTGCACCTGATCGGGATTGGCCACAGGCCACCAATGCACGAAGTACGTCTCCACGCGTCCTTCTGGTCGTGGCCACTCGAGTGTGATGTTTGTGGAATCGACGAGAGGAATGATGTTGGACACGGGATTTGGCCGGACAGTTTGATTCACGTGCTGCGGATTGGGACTCTCGACGCCATAGCTCACGGTGTTCACTTGGATGGTGTACTTCTCACCCGGCGTCATGTCAGTGACATCAGCCTCTGTTGACTTCACCGATGGCAAGCGGATCCATTGGCGTTCGCTCTCTGTGCGGTAGCGAATTGAGTAGTCGCTGAACTCACTCTGAATTGGCGGCATCCAGCGCACGAGAACGGAATTGCTTGTCACTTTTTCAATTGTCATGTTACGTGGTGAATTTGGATCTGTTTATGAATTGTTGAGGGTGAGAAAGAAAAGGGGAAGAAAGAGTGGTTAAATCAAACAACAAATGTACTGTTATTGAATTTTCTCATCATGTACTAAAACATGTATAATGTAGGAATTTCCATATGGCACAAATAGTATTGAATTCGTCCAAAACACAGCGATTATTTGCAATATAACACTCAAGTGACGTTGAAGGGAGGGAAATATGTATCAAATTGTCTGTTAGACTTTTTGTTTGAGAATTCTTTATGGACTGCTCATATGGGGAAAATTCCTGTGCAAATTTTGTGGCTAAAAGTTACTCACAGACAGCTTGGAAGTATGCATGAGGTTCACTGCGTAGTCCATGACTCAGAGCAAATACTTTAATCTCATATCCAGCGCCAGGATGCAAATTCTTGATGACCCGCCGGGATTCGGTGGTGAGAATTGTCTTCACTTCGCCTGTGTCGTTGCGTGAATACATGATTTCGTACTTCTCCTGTCGTGAATTCACGTCACTCTTCCAACTGATGTTGAGTCCTTCGCGGATGGATTTCAGATCCTCGATGATTGGTGAGGATGGTCGTGTGACGACACTGATGGTGGACTCATTGGACTCAACCTTGGCGGAGACTGCCTGGACGGTGATGGAGTAGTTTCGGCCTGGCAGGAGAGTCTCGAGGGGATATGTTGTCTTGTCGGTATTCATGGTGCTGGAGTCGCCGTTGTAGATCTCCACTTCGTGATAACTTATCTTGTACTCCTCCTGCGTGCTGATCGGATCGGGATCCCATGTGATGGTGACGAGGCCGGTCTTTTCGTTGGTGAATGATCTGAGGCCGAGAACCGGCAGTGGTTTGAGTGTCACATCACCTGTTGCCGGCCACGAAGTCACCTTGCCAGACACGGTCTTCACCACAACCTGATATGACTTGCCAGGCTCGAGATTCTCACGGAATTCCAGCCATGCCACACTGTCACTGGTTCGAGGGACAAATTGCTGGCGTCGCGAGTTCGTCACGGACACTTGATACTTGTCGAACTCACTGTTGCCCTTTGGCGCCTCCCACATCACTTTGAAGGAGTTGGACGTGATTGACGCCCAGTCGAAGCTAACGTTCATCGGCCGCAGCGGCACTGTGCGATACTGGGCTGTTGTGGGCAGTGAAATCTCATCCTCAGACATCGTCTGCACTGATATGTTGTAGGCTCTGCCCGGCACGAGACCCTTGAAGGCTGCCTGCGCCGGTCCCGGCGGCTCGCCCTCCTTCTCCACGTACAGCACGCTCTCGAGGGCATCGGGTGGCTCTATTGACACCTTGTAGTGCGTGTAAATGCCCGCGGGATAGGGCGGCTGCCACAGCACCAGCAGCGTTGTCTCATTGCGAAACCAAACAATGAATTTGCCCGGCGTGTTTGGTTCTGGAAAGACAGACAGTGAGAAGAGGGAGAAAGAGAGAGAAAAAGGTGAAATGAGGATGTGAATCAATTTGAAATTATTTAAAACAATACATCCAGAGCGAAAGAGAAGTGGATGGAAAATGATCATCATGTCAAAATGTTAAACTTGAAAGCTTTCACTGTGACTTCTTGGCGTCGTTAAGATTAGTATCTTTTGACAAATGGCGTAAAATGTTAATAAGTGGAAGACAATGAGAATGAATAATTGATTTGATGAATGCTTTTGATTTAATGGAGTTCTTATAGATAAGAAGGTGTAATAATTTGCTGTTATTTGTTTTTATTTCAGAAACAACACCCCAGAAATAAACGACGTAATTATAATTACGTTATTCATATTTTAAACTCTTTTTTTTATGTCAAAATCGTTATAATTTATAAATTTGAAATTTTTCAATGGGCCATTTTTTAAAAATCAATGGAATTGATAGTTGAAATTCACATTTCAATCCACATTTGAATTTTCTATACGCAAAATCATGAAGTACAAAAATATATTTCAACTCTAAATTGATGGCCTTTTATCTCTCTATTGTAATTGTATAAATATTTTAGCTTTAAGACATTATATGAATTATGTAACAACATTTTATCTTGGCGGTTTTACTAAAGAACTTCCCAAGACAGTGTATAAATATCATAGAAAATATTTTATCTATACAAGTTTATAGGTAATAATAATTATCTATGTGTAGTTCAGTTGAAAAATAAATGAAGTCATTATTGAAGAAGTAATAAGATTGTGTTAATGGACATTTTTCTGAGATGATTCCTTTTGAAACCAAGTCAATCATTCGCCTTGCATTCTTCTCAACACTCTCAAATTCAACCTTCTTTAATTTTGTGGGTTTTTTATTTGTCTGCTTCAATGCCAAATAAAATGAATTTCTTGACGGATTTCAATCACAAAGGCTATTCTGGCAAAGAATTCACATTTTGTGGTCAAATTTCACTGGAAATAGTTGCCGGAAATTTGAAATTGAGACCTTATGATTCACACTTTGGCGTATTGCAATGCAACACAGACTGCATTCCAGTGAAATTGTACGTTTTCTTTTACACACTCTGTGTGGTTTATTTTTCCAGCCATGTGTGCAATCGACACACGTTAAAAAAGAAGGTACGAAAGAACATCATTCATCAAATGTTGGAGCGGCGCATTTTATTATGGTCAGAGCCACAGCTGAGTAAATAACTCATGTCTAACATTTTTGAGCGTCGGCGAAATTTAATTTGAATATCTGGGTCTTTTTCTCCCCCATTTTCAGCACATGAATTATGACATCACTGATATTGCATTGAATTCAATGACCTTATTTATGGCTAGCGAAGAGCTTTCACATTAAACATTACGCATAATCTCGACTGTTTATTGACAAGCATTAATATTATACACAAAAAGAGCATTTATCCAGGAAAAACAGGGATATTTTCACACACACATACAAAACACACATTTTACCTCGTAGTATTTTAATATCCAACAAATCTTTATGGCGCATTCGTTGCTTCACTGCTCCAGAGCGAGCGCGATTTATGAGTGAGTTTGTGAGCGAGTGTGAGAAAGTGTCATATATGCAATTGTTAGTGGAGTAATTAAGGAAAGTTATAATACAGAAAAATACACAGATTAGATTCTATATAAATGGATGGAGTGGATGAATTGCAAAGCCAATCACCTTGAGAGAAGCAATGTGATTAGAAATTCCACTGTGAAAATTGATAGCAATTAAAATAACGCTCACTTGTGGTAAAATTGCGACTCGTGTATGCAACAGATTCCTTCCCGTCGAAAACCGTGTACGCTTGCACTTGATATGTTGCACCCGGAGTCAATTCCTTCAGTGCATACTGCAGGGAGTTGTTCTCAATGGGGATTGTGCGATTTGTGGCGTCTGATAAGCCGACGACCTGAAGAGAAAGGAAAAGAAAGAGGACGCCAAAGGGGCTGTGAAATCGAAGGAAGATCGAATTTCGTGGGGGATGTTTTGCTTACCCGCAGCTTAAAACTAGTAAAATTGCCTTGTGTGGGCGGACTCCATGATATGAGGACGGTTTTGCCGCTTCGCACGGAGACTGAGAGATTCGATGGTGGTTCAGGAGCTGCAAGACAAAAATTGATTTTTGATCAAACATAGTTGAAAATGAGAAGAACTTATGGATGCAAATTCGCTGCACAAAGAGAAAACTATATTTTCCATCTCTCACTCTTTGTAGAGTCAATTTGCATATAAATTCTGACCATGGCATAGAAGAATATGAGGAGAAAATGCTTTCCTGTCGGCAGTGATTTGAGTGAATTTGAAATTTTATCCACGTACAATCTGCAGAAATATGCACAAAGACCGTTCTGGGAATTTTAAAGTTGCTCTTTTCAATTCAATTCAACAATAAACAAATAAAATAGAATAACTTGAGGTTCTTCCGAGACGGTTTTCATCATTTCTCTCTCTCATAATCCTCTTTACAGACTTCTTTTCGCACAGATTATGAAAATTCACGGTTTCTTTCCTCTCCAATTACTTCAATCTCAAAAAATGCTGCAGTATGAATGTTTTGATTATTTAGAAAGCAAAAATTCAACCATATGTAAACATAAGATATCAATAATAAATGATTGTGATATCGGATTTCCATTATAATTGCTGAATCAAGAGGTGATAATGCGAAATGTATATTCATGTGAAGTTTGTTTCATTGCTGAGATGAGCAAATAACAGTCGGAATAAACTTTTAATAGAGTTTCCATCCGGTTTCCATAATCTTCTCTGTCTCTCTCTCTCTCTCTCTCGCTTTATGGAAGTGTATTTCACACTTATATGAGATTTAGCGATTTATGAGAGTCAGTGAATCATTGGGAGGGAAATTTGCGAGAAATACGCCAACTCGAAGATAATTCCACGCTTGATTGAGTGAGGCGTGCAATAAATGAATAAAATACAAGCTATCTTTTGATGATTAGCTTGTGAGGCGCGGGCGTGAAAATCAAAGGGAAGAAGCAGCGTGATTTGCTCACCTGTCGTGATTGAGACAGTCCACGTGAGCCAGTCATGGTGAGTGGCGTTCGTGTAGTACAGCCAGAAGTTGTATCTCGTGCCCGGCAGCGTGTGCGAGAATTGTATCCTGTCGCCGATGTCACGTGAGGCGATTGTCGTGTTTGGCGCTGGATTGCCGTACGGTGGGTAGTAGTCTAGACGGTAGTATGAGTCGTCTTGGCCCAGATTTCCGGTGATTTCAATCACCAAGTCAGCACATTGGCACTGCTGAAAAGGATGCAAAAGAGAGAGAGAGAGATGAAGATTCGTATTAATAAAATTGCCACTGAAAATGTGAATAGTTTGCGAAATCCCCAATTTCAATCATATGTATATTCAATCTGCTGGTATTTGCGTGTGAATGAAAATGTTCTCGGGATTGCTGATGATGATGTGGAGTTTTTTTTTCGCACAAAAAGGTCGAAATCACATGATAAAGAGATGCTTTTTCAACCTCTCCATTTAGCCACTATTAACACTACAGAGTTAAGTAGACACGAAAAGGGATTGTGGCGATAAAAAAAACAACATTGGAGACTTTTGTTCAGTCATTAATAGATGGAAAATGATGCGCAGTTGATTTTCAGCACACAGTTTGTGTGGTAAATTTGAAATTTGAGCTCTCACGTTCTCATGAATGGCGTCGGTGCTGCACTTAAGCCCATACTCAATATGTGTTTATGTTTTAGTGTTTTGTGCACGTAAAGTACATTAATTCCCATAAAATGGTGTATTTACTGCTGAGCGCAAGCTTGGAATGCATATAACGCTTCCATATGTCATTCCCCTGGCAAATATTTCTGAATTTCAATTAAAACATTTTCAAGAGCAAAATGACGACAAAAAGTTTTAGTTATCTGCTGAAGTATTCATGAAAATCAATTTCAACTTCAACTGCCTGGTGTGGCGGCAGAAAAAAGACGCGCTGATGAAATGCTAAACAGGAAATTCCCAAAAGTTGATCATGCATGACTGATTCTTCAAACGCGCGCTGGACAATCAACTGTCTGGTCTCCAGCTTCATCTCCGCGCGCGCATTTCGCAGTTCTTTTTCAGGGACGCCAAAGTCTTCATTGTTTGTCTGGGATGGAAAAGCGTCACAAAAATCATTCCCACAAATCCTCTCCTGTGTGCGCATTTATAAATATTTCAGCCTTTTATGCCTTTGAAACATTTTTAATTGTTTTCCAAATGTGTTTTGCAGATAAAACTCTGTGAATGTTTGTTTTTATTTCCTCTCTCTCTCTCTCTCGCCCTCCAAAAAAAAGAGATGGAATTGACGAATTAAACACGCGCACTTCCATTGAATATTTTACACAAATAAATTGAGCATTTACTCGTCAAATTGCAATTTAAGCGCTGAATTGTAAGTGCCATTCAGAGGCGCGGGAGTTGAAGATATGGAATTGCATTCGCATGACATTGTGATGATTTTGCGCTTGCATAACCTCTTATCGATATACGGTTGACCTGCTCTCGATTGTGCAGAGAAAATTATGATGACAGGCGATAGTGTTCGCCCAGGAAGTAACATGAAGAGGAGAGCACTTGACGAAATTTGCCAACTTCACATTTACTGCTGCATTTGCCACTGTCGAGAGGGTCACACAACAAATGGCTCGTTTGTAAATAAACGACGAGTGCCAGGAAAGTTTTCCAGGGAGAGGAAATTGTATTCTAACACCTTCCAATTGTTGAGGAAAATTTCCCCGCGCGCCCAGCTTTCGCTTTTCACACACACATTTTCGCATTGTAATCCCAACATTTTGAGCATGTACGAGAGTTATATAAATATTTTCAAATACAGTGGCGAAAATTAGTTTTAGACACCTTAGAAATTGCTACAAATTCGGTAGTTCTTTCAATTTTCGAGACAATTTTCTAATGACATTGTGATCATGGCGAATTCGGAGTCTAAATCTATGTTAAACCATCATATTGACTGGGATAACCACATTTAATCATGTGCTTAGAATGTCTGGAAGACATTTACCTTTTTCAGCGCCTTGATTTGTACTTATTAACTTGCTTTTTGTATGTTTTTAGCTGCCGTTTAACGCTTTTGTACCATTTCTTCCGCACAAACGTTTCTTTTATGACATGTTGAATGGGAGCTTAAGTTGATCGTTTAAGAATAATCAAATGGTTCTAATTGTGTTTACGTATTCTCTAGCACTCAAGTGTTCCATAAAACCCAACCTTTTAGCATTTCTTATGTGTCCTAAACTAATTTTTCACTACTGTAAGTGCATAGTTGGTTGTGTTGAGGTGGGTAGAGCTGTAGAATGAAGGAAAAAGTAATTTTGTGAGATTGTACACCTTCATTCACGACACTTCCTTCTCCCCTTATGTATGCATTTTGTATTATAGACACATACGCACGGTGTAATAATAAGCAATGGGAATGTTCTATGTTCTTCCCCAATCAGCATTCCCTCCATTGCAATGTTGTGTGTGGTTGGGTGTTTTGTGTGTGTGATGAAAGGAAAAGAGTCATTAATTATTTATAACTCTCGCAGGTACTCTAACAATTTATCCATTTTGTTGTTCACTCCGGCACAACAAATACCGCTAAAAGGCGTGTGTATTTTGTCAGTTGGAAAACATCCAGAAGGCGAATGAAAGAAACTAATTTAAGTTTTTTTTTATTACACCTTTTCCCTCGCGACACAACAAGAGACCGAAGAATTTTGATGCCCACCCCGCAAAGAAAGAGAGACAGACAATGTACAATTTCTGATGAATTACTCTTCAAAGTTTCCTCTGAACAATTGGAAATGGGGGAAGAAAAGCTCAAGGTGTTTCCCTCACAAATGTTTCCCCTGAGCATTGGTGATGCTTTCACATGGGCTCTTGTGAAGCTCTCGCACGACACTAATTCGCTGCAGAGGAAACATTTCACTCACATTTCAAGTGCAACTCAGGCTTTCAGGTGAATGATTATATGCAGACGCATTGAGACAAAACATTCATATGCATTCGTGTGAAAGACTTCTGACGCGTTATGTAAAAGCGCCCCTTATGTAGAAGAGAAAAACTTACATAAAGTGATGTTTAGTTTCTAATTTTTATTGAATATGTAAATTTTATTTGTAGCGTACAGAGTGGAAACATTCTTTCACACTTGCACTGAGTTGTTGTGTGCAATTCGCTCTAAAATCTCACTGGCTTTTTCCTGGTGCGTGAATTGAGAAGGTCTTTTTTCTGTCAACTTGCAAAACTCATTAAAAATAAATCGTAGAAACAGTTTCAAACTTGTTAATTTGTCACACAGGAGTATTTTATCACTGCAAATGCTCTCTCTCTCTCTCTCGGTGTGGTTGAGGAAGTTTTTCCGTTTTTCAACCGAAAGTTTGCGGTTTCAGAGTTTTCCCGGGCTTATTGAGGGGTTCTCGAGACCATAATTGCAGGCCAGAATAATGAAGTGGCAGTGGTTGGAGGGAGTGTGAAAGTGAATGACGAGGGGAGAGTCTTTTGATGCGAAATACAATCCAAAATATCCAGATTATTTTGGGGAAAAAGGTACAGAAGATATTGATGATAGTGAAATCATGATTGGAAATTCTACTCGCGAAATCAATAAATGAATCAAACCTCAGGACAAATTCAATGCATTCGTGAATTATAAATGGGAATTGATGAGTGTCTTCAATTCCCCATTTTGTTTTCCTTCCCTTTAACACCGCACCACCAATTTTCCCGTCCATGTGTGTCCTTTCGTGCAACATTAATGGAATATTCGATGAATGTGCATCTGGGCAGTGGAAAAATGCATTTGATATTGACATAAAAGGTGCTGGTGGAAGTCGAATTACAGGCACTTTGGTCATGTTTTTTGTGGCTTAAGTGCACTTGTGGGATGTCTTGAGTGAATAAAAATACTTGTTCAGGGAAAATACCAACACTTATACTTCACATCAATGATTTTCTCAATGGGAGACGAAGAAAAAACATGGAAAATTCACTTTAAACCATAAGGTGAATATAACATTTTCCACTATTTTTAGCGCACATTCATATGGGAAAGACACACACCACACAGAGGGTGAAGAACCACACAAGAAGGCACATGGAATCATTTTACTCAATAATAAATGATTCACAAGAGTATCTTTACTGCTGCTTCTGATATGCTTTTCTCTATCTTTCTTCTTTTATGTGCCTTTCATAGAGTTAAAATTTAGCATAAATAAGAACACTTCTAAACCATAATACTTCCGCATTTTGTGCCATATTGGAAAGAGGAAAAGCCTCCCCCTTTTTCTGGGAGTTTTAAAACATCTTCCTTCCCAAAAGATATGTTCCGAAATATTACTTTCATTTTCCTGTGCTATGTACACCGACTGACGCTATATATAGTACATAAGACAGTTACACAGAGAGAACACTGGAGAAACTGGAGAGCAAATATTAAACTGTAGCACTGTGTGCGAATATTTCGCAACCATGGCAACGAATAACGAGCTGAAGAATCTCTCGTTTTTTCGACCAACAGCATTGTGCAGAATGTCCTGGGCCGAATCAACTCTGTTCAGCGAGTGCAATCGATGAGAAAAAATTCTCAATTTCCCATTATTGTCAATGATTTTTATGGGCGCACAATATTTTTATCTCTCTGTATCAAATTTGCTGCTGACTACTGTGAAATGGGGGAGTTATTGCACCCCTTATATTATTTTCCATGACTACAAATTGTCATTAGCCTGAAAAGAGTGAGTCTCTGCGACTGTGGAGTTAATCAGCAATAATTTTATGAGGTGTAAATGTTTATCATTATATTTGCTTTTAAATGCTGTGTGGAAAATCACTTTCATTTTCTCAAAGTCTCTGCACACACAATTGCTAAGGTTGTGTGGTTTTTTCACACTCATTCTTCTGTGTGAATTGCAGATTTAGCAAAGAAGAAGGTTTGTTTAACTACCAGTAATAGTCTGGGAGGTCAATTGATCGAATTGTCTCTTCAGTCTTTGCCTGATTCTCTCCCCTCAGGCGAAGAGCAAACGCCCCTCTTTAACTTGATTTGCTGCTCCCTCTTTCTCTCCCTCTTGACTCCAGCTTGAGACTTTGTCCTCAAGGAATTCTTGGGAGCGACAGATAACGTCTCACACAGCCTCGTGGCATCGTAATTTAAGGGATTTTACGAGCGTCTATGACCTTGATATTCATTTTCCTGTGAATTTCAAGTTCATAAATTAATGAAGAGTTCGCATTTTCAGTGCATTTTTCAT